GAGATGTGTGTCTTGTGTTCACGAGTGTGTGAACACAGCACCAGCTGGGTCATCCACAGCTTGGGAGTAGAGCAGCCTCTAACAAGTCCCTGCATCTTCCTCAGCAGCAGAGGCAACAGTCTGCACAGTGACACTGGAGAAGACCTCTGCAGGGTTGGGCTTCAGCCTGGAAGGAGGGAAGGGCTCCCTGCATGGAGACAAACCTCTCACCATCAACAGGATTTTCAAAGGTGTGGTATGGGCTTTTTGAATGCTCTCCAGTTTCATGGGCACTTTCTGGTGACATTGGTTTCCCATAACCCCATTTCTTCTTGAGAGGCATGCAGATCCATTTAGGGCTCAGTTCTGCCTTTCAACCTTTACCCCTTTGCTCAGATAGCCCCTTAACCCCTCTGTTTTACTAGGTCCTTGTTTTAGTCAACTTTCTCACAGCTGTGACTAAAAGATCAGACCAGAACAGTTTTAAAGGAGGAAAAGTTTATTTGAGGGCTCACTGTTTTAGATGTCTCAGTCCATAAACAGCTGACTCCATTCCTCAGGGCTCAAGGTGAGACAGAACAATATGGCAGAAGAGTATGGCGGAAGGGAAGTGGCTCACATGATGATCAGGAAGCGAGGGAGAAAGAGACTCCCCTCTCCAGATACAAAATATATACCCCATAATCACACCATTAATGAACCACTTCCTCCAGCCACACCCCATCTGCCTCAAGTTGCCACTCAGTAATCCCATTGCAGATTGATCACTGATTAGGTTAAGGTTATAACCCAATAACTTCTTCTCCAAATCTTTTTGCTTTGTCTCACCAGTGTGTTTTTGGGGGATACCAAATCTAAACCATAAAAGTCCTCTTGCAACTGAGCCCTGGGCTTGGTTCAACTTAGCAGAGCCAAGACTAGACTGAGGCAGATGAAACCCTGGCCTGAGGTTCAAAATTTAATGGGGCACCAAAATACACAGTAATCAAGATCAATACAATTTCAGTCCTTCCTTTCTTCCTTCCTTCCTCCCTGCCTCCCTCCCTCCCTTCTTTCCTTTCTTTCTTCCTGGGGTATTGGGGATTGAACCCAGACACCCTGTGTCACTGAGCTATACTCTCAGCCCTTTTTATTTTTGAGACAGGGTCTCCCTAAGTTGCTGAGGTTGGCCTTAAAGTTCTGATCCTTTTTGCCTCGGCCTTCTATATCACCAAACCCAGCTCAATGCAAAATTTTAATTAATTAATTAATTTTGCAATCTTTGGGAATTAAACCTAGGGCCCTGAGCATGCTAGACAAGTGCTCTGTCATTGAGCTATATCCCCAGCCTTCAGTGCAATATATAAATATTTTTAAAATCAAAATAATTTTAAAAAATTTATGTTGATCAAAATACAATCAAAGTCTGGCTTTGAACCTGCTCCACTTGACCTTACTGGCCTTACCCTAGTCCTAACTCATCAGTTCCCACTTTTATTTACAATTTTGATATTTTCTTCACCATAGATTGGGGAGGACTAAATATCCCATACATTCCTGTAGCCTTGGCCTCTGTCTCCAGCCCCAGCATTGGCTTTCCACAAAGGGATGCCCCTGCAGGGACGGTGCTCTCTGCTGGCTTACAGTCAGGGTGGGGAAGCCAAGGGGTGGGGGTGCAAGAGTATTTGACGTGGGGGTCACTGGGTTTGGGTTTTCCTGTGAAAATCATGAATGACCTAAAGCTGCCATATAAATCTTCCCTGAATTCTTTGCTACTCTTCAACTGGAAGCCTATGCACCACAGGGCAAGATGTTGTGAGATCTGAACACAGGAAAGGTCTGGGAGCTAGTTCCAGCTCTGCCTCTGAGTTGCTGGGTGACCACTTCTTCTTATCCAAAGGAAAAAAAAAATAAAATAAAAGAGGCAAAGAGGTACAGGTATGTGTCTGAGAGCTCTTAGAACTGGGTCCCTAAGGGCCTCCCAACTCTGCTCTCTGTCCTACATGGATCCCTGTGGCCAACTGGTTTTATTAGAGGAATCTCTGTGGCAGCTATGAAAACCCAGAGGGTAGGCTGAGGTGTATATGATGACTCCCCCAGAATCCATGTTAATTCCAATTCTGAGAAAGATAATTTGAACTTTTTCAAAGGTCAATTTGGAATTAGCATGGGGTCCAAAGTCAACAGAGTCAAAAGACTTGGACCCATGAACTTGGTTCCAATGCTAATTCTCCTCTTTAGAGTAGGATGAGCTTGAGCAAGTCCATTCACCATCCTGGGCCCATTTTCTCCTATGGGGATATCTAACCAGCTGCAAGGTACTAAGGGATGTGGATTGGAGCCAGAAGTTCTGGGCTTCAATGCAGGTTCAACCACTTTAGCAGTTTTGAAGCTCTGAAAGAAGCACTTTAGTCTTTGGTTTCTTCACCTATAAAAAGGGAATAGTAAAGGCATATGCCTCATAGGATTACTGTCACCAATGCAAACCATTAGCACAATGCCCATCATAACAATTAACCAAAATAATTTAGCTATTTTATTATTTTGTATTCTTTTTCATTATTTGTGAAGGTCATGGTGTCAACTGGGAAATTTATAAACTGTATAAAAAGTCATGTTTCCACATGCAGCTTTTGAAGAGTGGGTACCATACAGAATTATGTCTTTCTTACATGGGCACAGAGGCCTTCTACATGCTGCTCAGAGCCAAAAGCCCATGAAGACTGCCTCATGAAAATCTCACCAGCTCTGTTCCTGTACTGCCCAGTACTGTTCTCATAAGAAAGGGAGACCAAAAGCAAGGGGGTGGGATATTGGCTCAGTGTTCAAGGGAGGCATCGAGGAGGACTTAGCACCCTAGAGTCTTCTGTGAACTGTAGAAGTCTCACTAACTGGGCTCTGGCTTGGCGCTGCCTGGAATCTCCTTCCTCTGGGAATAGCAAGGGCTGCAGTTTTCTAAAGGTCACAGAGAGCTGGAGCCTGGTGTCTAAGTGCTGAGCCACCATTTTATAATATTTCCTCATTTTGGAACCACCACCAAACTTCCAAGAAATGGGTGTCTCATTCTCTTCTCAGCTGTCCTGGCTCCTTGGAGATCACAGGTAGAAGTAACTTCTCGTTTTGTCCTATCACCAGTCGAGCCCATTATAATGTTCTTCTCCCTTGTTTCAGGGGCAGCTGCAGAACAAAGTGAGATGGTCCAGCCAGGAGATGAAATCTTGCATCTGGCTGGCACTGCTATGCAGGGTCTCACACGGTTTGAAGCCTGGAATGTCATCAAGGCACTGCCTGATGGACCTGTCACTATTGTTATCAAACGGAAAAGCCTGCAGTCCAAGGGGACCACAGCCACTGGAGACCCCTAGACAGGGCACCAACTCTGAAGCCAAAGCCATGAGCACACAGCTCCCATAACTGCTGATTCTCAGGGTCTCTGCTGCCCACCCCACCCAGATCAGGGAAAGCACAGGTGTGCTTCCTGGGTATTGCTGCTCAGGTCCAGACCTTCTGGAAAACAATCCAGCAAGAGGACTGTCATCAAAATAAGGCAGAGTCACGCTGGGGTGGCTGATACAAACTGTATACTGTATATATATGAAGTTTAATGATAATGTTGTGGTGCCATAATAAAATGGATATATTACAATTTGATCCGATACCCATGTCCTGCTGTGCAAAATCTTATGAGTATTATAACTGTGACAACCTGCCCCATAATAGCAACATTTGTTTTTATCATGATTCTGAAGTGTGGGCAGGCCTTGGCCAGAGAGCTCACCTCTCCCTACTCCCACTTGGCATCAACTGCAGCAACTCAAAGGCTGGAAGTCTTTGACCGTGTGAAGGATCATTTCATAATACATCTGGGAGTTGTCTGCCTGGGGATGCAGATGGGCTTTGGCCTGAACATCTACAGGTGGCCAACGCCTGTGGCATGGGCTTCCTTATAACACAGCTTCTGAACTCTCTGGGTGAGCATCCCGGGAGTGCAAGAGCCAGGTAGAAGCAGCATCTTTTTTATGCCCTCATTTCAGGAGTCCCATAGCATTGCTTCCCCTGTAATCTGTCAGAGCTAGCACACATCCACTCAGATTTATAGGATATGAAAATATGGCCAAGGCCACATTTGGAAAATAGTCTTTCACACAAAACATTTGTTTTTGAATAAGTGATCCTAGGCAAGGAAGGTGTCAGGTGATAGAGCCAGTGAGCAGAGCAAAGGTGAAACTCATGGTGTGGAGAGGTGCACCAACAGGATGTACCACCATGTATGTAAGCATAAGATAAAAATGGCTACCACCTTCCTATCATATGCCAAGCACTGTGTTTGATATGAAATGGTGTTTAGTAATCACAGCACCTTGTACAGCATGTGGTTCTGTGCCACTCTATTGATGAGGGCACTGAGACTCAGGGATAGTAAGTAACTTGCCCAGCTGTGAAGTGATCAGAGAGAGATTTGAGTCCTCCGGTGGTTTGGGAGAGATAAATAATAGGCTCTTAGATTTTTGAGGCCAAAATTTCTGTAAGTTTGGGAAAATACCTCTGAATACCCGACCAATGGGTATTACCTTTGGTCATCGCTGAGCACCTGATTGCCAAACTCAGGACAAGTCAATGAAACTTTGAATTAGCATCACCCAGCATACTTTGACCAGGTCTAGTCCAGAATACCAGCTCTTCTGAGCTTCTGCTCCTACACACTGAATGTGTGGGGGAAGGCCTGACAAGGATCACAGATAAAACACAAAGTAGTTTATTTCCAGACCATAATCCATGGGACCATGCTAATGTAATTGATGGCTTCTCCAGGGGGTTCACAGGAAGCCAAGAATCTTTCAGAAGACTGGACTCAGAAAACCCAGCTGGGTTCCTACTCTTCATGTAAACCCCTTTAGTGTTCTTGTCACAGTTGGCATCAGCTGATTGTGTTTTATTATTCGGAGAAATAATGGGCTTAGTTCGTTTCTTGCACGTTGTCTTGCTCACCCCATCCTAAATTTCTTCAAGCAAGTAGATAAGAAATTTGAAATATCATGTTATCAGTTTTTAGATTTAATAGGAACACTGGAGGCAAACTTGATGAAAGTGTAACTCAATACAATGCCCACTCCCCAGGGTCTTACTGTGTGCCTGCCCAGGGCCGGGCAATGAGGCCACACTCCCTGCCTGCACAATCTCATCATCTGGGCACGCATGTGACAGGGAATTGTTCTGAGTCTTCTCAAGCAGCCAAGTGATAGTGGGACCAGCCCAGGGAAAGAGAAAGGAAGGTGGGGAAAGGTAGGAGCATGGAGCTATTATGGGCCTGTGATCCTAGACTCCTTGGGAAATGGGGCAAAGCAAGCAGGTGGGTAGGAAGAGGTTGTCTGAGGACAAGAGCATGAATATGGTGAGTTCATGGCTCTCCCAGTACTCCTCCCGTCTCTGCCCTCTTTTAGAAGGTCCCCTTCTCTTGCTCAGGTTCCTGGTCTCCAAGTCAAGAGAATTCAGGGCAGTTATAGGCAAGAGGGCCCTGAAACTAAATCTCACCCATCTGAGTTCCATCGCGTGAGGATTTCATTATGAGGTTTCACTGTCCTTGGCCAACTTCTTTGAAGCTGACAGAGGCTTGGAAAACAGTGGCTTAGAAACAATATTTCCAGTTACTCTCCAACACTGCAGACATTACAGTTAATAATCCTGGACCTAGTACTCTCCATGAGAAGGAATCCTCTCAAGGGCCCCTCCCTGGCAGTCCTAGTTCTTTGCTTTGTATGGCATTTTACTGGTTAACACATTATCTCACTTTGTCAAAATTCAAGAAGCAGTATGCCTCCATACATTAGAAAGTCAAAGCAGACCTACTTTCTCCCCCGGGTCTTCCTGTGGGCCTGCCCAGGGCTGGGCACACTCCCTGGGCCTGCACAATCTCATCATGTGGCATGGTGATGTTTTCTGTAACAATTGTTCTGAGTCTTCTGGGCTCAAACCAGTTTAACCTGATGCCAACTGATTCATGTAGGGTCAGCACAGAATATCATATGGGCCAGAGACAAGTCCTTAAGTGACTGGTCATCCAAGAGTTAGTGACTTATGTTTGGAGTAGCAAAGGTGGAATGCCATGGAAATTTCCTGCATGGGCAATAGTAACAGAAGCGGCCACATGAAGGGCCTCTGATGAGACACAGGAGGGGTCTTCCTTACAAAGGTGGAAGCCAGACAAGGTTTCAAAGGAATGTTTTCAAGGCTGTGAAGCCTTGACTGCAACAGGTAAAAGAAGTTGTGTGTTGACTTCCTGTTGAGTCTCTTCTAGGTGATATAGCTGTGCTCCCTGGCTCTGAAGATGTACAGGTGGGTATGGACACTGCAGGGTTGTACAGTCCAGTAGCAGACTCTTAGAGGAAAGATTCCAGCCAGGGATGCTAGAGGGAAGCCTGCTCTGCCCTCCTTCTCGGTAGCAGTGTGGCCTGATGGGGCCCTGGAGGCCAGAGCACTCCAGCTTTGGCCTTCTTAATAGAGGGAAAGAAGAGGTAGATATCCTAGGGAAGGAGATGCTTATCTCCAGAGTTCTGCTCACAGACAGGAGAAGTTTACTTCATTTAGAGCCACTCTCAAAGAAAACTAATCTCAAAGACTGCAGATTTGGCCTGGGGCAGATTCAAACTCCCTGGTGTTACTGGTGATATGATATGATAACTCACTCAAAGGAAAGAAGGCAGAAGACCAATTCCAACAGAAGAACCACGGAAAGTATTGATCCAAATGGAAAGAATTTTTTCTTAAGGCTTATTCAATTGTTCAAAATAATTATTTTTCCAAGTTGACAAGTTTTTAAGGGGAAAATCTTACATGGTGTCAAAACATGTATGAGGGTTTCCAAAAAACGCACTGAGGACTTGGTTTCAGTGTTCATCATGATTCTCTAGGACAAACATGGAGACATGGCCTCTGACAGTGAGGTACATACAGGATTGGAACCACAGTGCATCACACAGTGCTGAGCTGAGTTCTTGTCAGGTAGCCAGAAGTTTGGGTCCACCTTGCCTCAAGTGAGTTTGGATCACAGGTAGAATTACAAGTATGTGAATGGTTCCTCTCCTGCCAATCCTAAGAGGACAGAGGAAGTAGGAGTGGGAGGGCTAACACCCTTGGCTGGCATTCTTACAGACTCACTGCCCAAGAGTAAAAGCAGGCTTGGGTTCTCCTAGATCTGAGGTATTCCAGCAAGTGGAGCTCCTCAATGAGTCACAGATGTTCTTTGCCAACAACTGAGGGCATCAGTCATGGAATTTCTTCACTGCTTTCTGAAGGTTGGCATAAAAACTGGTCATGCTCCGAGGGAAGAAGGAGTCCACTACACTCTGTGGGAGGTAACCGCTGAGGTCAGTCTGGAAGAATGTGACCAGGTTGGTCTTGTTGGGCTCTCTGTGAAAGCAACAGCAGAGCTGTGTTAGGCATCTGCCACAGAGGGGCTGGCACAGTACCAGATCAGGCAAAGAGAGCCTGGCCCAGCAGAAACGGCTGTTACACAGCGACCACATTCAATCCCTTGCAGGATTCACTGCCCAGGGGGCCACTTTGTACTTTCTTGTTTAAGATGGGAACATGGCCTCTAGTGAACATATCCTATAGTCCCATCAGGCCCTCCGGGGTTGATGGGTGGCGGGGGGTCCCTCCTTTCTAAGAAGAGAGATTCCCTCTGACAGATTTGTTTGTAGATGCTTTCAAGAACCCTCTCTGTTTGAGGCCCTGGGAGGAGTGAACACAGAAGCTGGTTTTGTCTCTCTGCTCAGGCGGCAATTCTCAAAATGTCAGGAGCTCCTGGGGGACCATGGCACCCTTTCCAGGGGTTTACAAGGTCAAAACTGTTTTCATAACAATACAAATATATGATTTGCCCTTTTCACATTTGCATCTCTAACACTATGTCCCATCATCCCATTGATGAAAACACCAAAACAATTGAGCAACAAAACACTTGCAGTAAATGAAATAATTTGGTTTTAGATTCTTTTGAAAAAATAATAGGTGAATGATTAATGATAATTTTCATTAATACAGTAAGTTTCATAATAATTGATCAAATAACTTATTAATCACTCAATTATTAAATAAATGATAAATTATATAACAAGCTCTATATTATGACTTCCAACCCACCTCAATGTACCTTTGTCAATTTCATTGAAATAATAGCAGAATTGAAAACTCAAAACTTTGTTGAGGGGACAAGAGCTGAGCAAGTCAATGCTTGGTTTAAAACCTGCATACTAGCTGGGTTTTGTGGGGACTTTCTGGTCCCAACCAGGCCATCTGCAAAATTTGTGCAATAACCTTTGCTATCTTATATGAGGACTCTTACTCTGAAAAATTCCTTTCCAGCAGACATGGCACCATGGAAAGGTGGTTCTCAGCACTGACAGCCAAGTGGGGACAATAAGGAAATGAAGCAGAGGTTAGAGCCCTGGATCTAGGGCACCTCTGTACTGAGGGGACTAAAAATCCTAGTGTGTGTTAAAGCATGGCTATGCTATTTTCACACTTAAAAGGTTGTTACATTTAAGAAAAGTCCTTTGAAAGATGTTTGAAAAGCCAGCTTAGCAAACACAGTGTTAGGTGGAGGTCCAGGTCTGGTTTCTAGTAAAGTCCTATGGCATCAGGCCTGCCTCCTGGGGCTGAGAAAGCTCAAGCCCCTCCCCTCTTGGAGTCTACAGGAACACAAGAACACACTGGCAGGTGTAATCTCTTTTATTGTCAATTTGGGTGGCACCCAGAATACACTAGTGACCTTCAGGTTATTCATTACATATAAAGTTCCTTGTAAAAATCTGGCCTTGTGAGCTGTGGGTAAACAGGAAGGGATCCCGGGCTCAGTTCCGTGATTGACTCACAGTGTGGTCTCTGATTGCCCTTCAGCTCCCAAGACCACCCCAATCCTTGTTGAGATGATCATTGTTTAGAATGTGCAGTAGGGATGGTCATACTCCCAGCTGCTCCAGGCTGGTGGATGGTTCCCAGGGAGTGCAGGAGAAATTTGCCAGAGCTCAGACTCTGCCAACCTCCTAGACTGATCATAGATACATACTTAACCACCCAAAACTGTTTCATCTTCTAAATGGGACCATGGCATTTATTCAACCTGACTAATGGGGTGGGAGTAAGAATTTTACATATCAAAAATTTAAATTATAACAGCATCCCCCATGTATGAGATGCTTTAGCATATTATGTCACTCATGTGTTTGTGTGTAATAGTGTTTTGTAACATCAAAGCCTAAAGAGCCTAAGACATTTTGTTCTTATGAATCCTAGTCAAAGTACCTATTCTTAGAGTGTCCAGAGTGAAGTCAGTCAGGTCTGAAACAGGGGCCTCCCTCTTCATTATTCTTACCCTGGCAGAGGTTCACAGAAGCAACCACAAGGATGGTTGAATCCTCTCACAAAACCTGGCTTCGGGGGGCATAGTGGATGTTCCACATGGGTAGCTGGAAGACAGTTCAGACAAACAGTGATCTACAGCTTCAGTCAGACCTAGCCACTTAAGTGCTACAATGTGTGCAGAACCAGTTACTGAGAGCTGGTGAGAGGGCAAGAGACTCTTGCTACATGGCCTCAAATTTCTTCCCCACCCTGTACACCCACTTACATTCCCGTACATGGGCACACACTCAAATCCACACACACAAATATACACTCCAACATGCAGCTTCCCCAAGCGGATAAGAATATTGGAACAAAGAATATTCTATAATACAAGGTTTGGGGGTGGAAGGAGGAAGGTGTCTTTCTTAAATCTCAGCTGACAGAAGCGGGGGATGTGTCTATAATCTCCTCCATGAGGCAGATTCAGAGGAACAGTATGGGCTGTGTGGTAGCAGCTCTGCTCTCTGTTGAGCAGGAAGGGAGTGGACTGTGCCCAGCCCTCTCAGGAGGACACATCCATGAACTCAGTGAGTCACTGCATATCAAGGTTTTGTGATACCCAACTGTAACCTGCATGTCCACAGCTCAAACTACAAGTCTCAGCAGGAACAAGAAGGGGTGCTGAAAAGATCTGGGACTAAATAAATATATCTATATAAATAAAATTACTGGCACAAGGATTATCCCACCTCAGACCCTCATGGCATGGAATCCCCCCAAACTGTGAAGGCAAGGCACATACTGTTATTGAGATGATCATTGCTTAGAATGTGCAGTAGGGATGGTCATACCCCGCTACTGCTTGGTTTCCAGCTGCTTGGCTTTCCTTAAGAATCTGAGGAGTGGAGGAGAGAGCCCAGCCTCCTGGGCAGGCCTGACAGCACCTGGTTGTCACTCACCATTGGAACTGATGGTCCCATCCTCATATCTCTTGACTAGCACCAAGTCCACAAAGTCCCTGGGAGAAATGAGCTTCATGGCAGCTGAGGGGGTGGAGGTTCTGCTTATGCAGAGTGTCTGCCAAAGAAAAAGGGAGCCTAGCTGTGTCTGAAGGTCAGAGATCTTCTCCTAGCTCTCCCCTGTCTACCAGGGTCTGGGGAAAAGGAAAGCATGGCATTGTGCACATGAGGGCCCAGAGGGAGGCCCTGGTGATGCTAAAGAACTTTCCACTAGGTATACTGGGGATGAACTTCCAGATGACTTCACTTCCTAAATAGGCTACATCTGCAGGTAGGGTCTCTTTTCCTGCTTAAAAACAAACAAACAAAACCCCAAAAACCAACCCCTCCCCACACACACAAAAAGAGCATTCTCCCATCTTCCCTCATGTAGAATCATCCTATCATGAATTCTCTCTGGGTGTACCCCTGGGGTACCAAAGACAACCAGGAACACTGATTTAAATATTTAATCAAGGTATCATATACACTGGGGTTAGAATTTCATGTTTTTCCCTTTCTTAAGCATAGTTGAAAGTGTGGGGTCAGAAACAAGGCAATTTCGCTATTTCTGAATTCTGGTATTTCACAGAAGAAAAGAATAGCAGAAGAGTTGTTTTGTTTTGTTTTTTTTTAAATTGGTGCATTATAATTATACATAATAGTAGGATTGGTTGTTACATACTTGTACATACACACAATATAACAATATAATTCAATACTTTTTTTTAAAAAGTAGCCACACTGCTTCCATGCAATTCATTGAGTTGCATGAAATGGAAATTTGAATTCAAGGAAAATAATTATATACTTCTGATTATTAGTCTCAAATATATCATTTCTGAGAGAAAATGTCTGGAGACCAAGATGAGGTCCATAGCAAGTCATAGATGTCAACATATTCATGGTATGTTTCTTCAACCCATCCATTGATCTGATGTCTATTTCAGAATTAGAACATTTAAAATTTGTCAAAATGATGCCAAGAAATGCCAATCTATAAGAAAGGGCCTTTTCTCCATATTTTGTTATTTTCACTAAATTGTTAAGAGCTACCAATTGTCAGCTCTTCTCTGCTTTTTTTGTAAACCAGTAGCATGTAGTAGCCTCTGCTATTTTCAGTTAATGTCTATTGAAGATTGTATCTCTCTGGCAAGAAATTATATCTTTTCATGGACACATGAATTAATTAAAACAAAGAATTCCATTTATCTCATCCAGAGATGCACAATATTTTTGTGTGTGTGTTTAATAATTCCCCATCAGAAGTTGTAATGTAATCTTGTCATTTTAATAAATTATACCTCAATCTGGATTAAAAAAATACAATTAGTCTTATAGTCAAAGAAAAGATACAATTAAAAAATAATTTCAATTTATATGCGTATCTATGATGTAAGATGATGACTTCCAAGAATAACATGCAGTATATTAAGATAAAATTCATTGAGTTGCATGAAATGGAAATTTGAGTTCAAGGAAAACAATTAATTATATACAATTTCTGACTATTTAAAGAAAAATTTACTCATATTTTAAAAATGGGTGACAGTAAATACAAATTCATATGCTATTTAGATACAACTAAAAGAATGATACCAATACTTTGTTCAAAATTGACAAACTTATTAATATGTCAGAAATGCCATGCTTTGCAAAAATTTAGCTGTCAACTAGATTTGTGGGGTCATGCAAAATTTCTCAAAAATTTGTCAGAGGTATGTAAGCAAAAAAGTTGAAGACCCTTGCATCAGAGACTAACTGGGATCAGGCAGGATACATGGGCAAATTGTGGCCCAGCCAGGGATGAAGGGCCCTATGTTGCCTAGAGCAGCAGCATAAGGAAGCAGGCATCACAGGTACAAACCAGGGTACCAGAGGAGAAGGAAGACCTGCCAGCATGACCCATTAGCAAGATGATCAAGAAGGCAATAGCAACTTGCACCAATGTAGAATTCAGCATAGGTGAACAGCTGGCTATCCTGTATGGTTCTGGCAAGATGAGAAAAGTGAGGAGCTTACAGTGTGATAACAATGAGGAAAACAGAACTCTGTGGGCCTCTGAGGGATAAGGTCACCAGAACCCAGAACTGGAGCTAGGGAAAAGGCAGTGGGGTAGAAAGAGGTTCTTGGGCTCCTCTGGAAGATAGTTGGCACCTGTGGTGGCTGAGAGGCAGGAAAGCTGGAGCTATCAGGTGGCTCTCAGGTCCCAGGTCAGCTTCTTATCTGTGTGAACTTGGGTGCTTCTCTTTACCTCTGTCAAACTATTTCCCTTCTTCAAGGTTTCAGTTAAAGCACTCTGAGTTTGTAAATGACAGCTTAGCCTTTAATCATTGTTATGTCATTTTAGTATCATCCTCTAACTTTTGAAGCCTTTTATTCTCCCTCCCACCAGTCACTGTGTGAAGCCAAAGAACTGCAAACATGCTAAAAATATAAAAAATATTTAAAAATATATAAAATATATAATATAAAAACTATTTTTTAAAAAAATTCCATATATTACTTTTTTTTTTGTACTAGGGACTGAACCCTGACCTATTTTACCACTGAGCTACATCCTCAGCCATTCTTAAAATAATTACCATTTTTTTAAAATTTTGAAACAGAGTCTCATTAAATTGCCCAGGCTGGATTCAAACTTGATAGCCTCCTGCCTCAGCCTCTTGAGTTGCTGGGATTACAGGCATGCACCATCATGCCCAGTTGTATTATTCTTTAAAGGACATTAACACAAGTTTCCTCAGCTTCAATCATTTGCATGATTATTTGAATACTCTTAATTTTTTTTTGCTATTTCTGGTATCACCCATCATGTTAATTCACTTAATATTGCTGTATAAATGTGCTGCCTTTTAAAAACTTAGATCACTTGATTTTAAAAGGAAGTTATCAGAAATGAAAAAAAAAAAAAAACTTGCTATAAATGAAAAGCAATGCAAAGTTGCTAATTCTGACCCTGGGACCAGCTATCTATCTTGTTATAAAGGAGATCAACAAATGTGACACAGGTTTCAAGGGCACATCAGCACCAGAGACAGTCCCCTTTAAATCATCAAAGAGATTAAAATTAAAGAAGAATTAACACAAGGCATTTTTTTTTCCCACTATGATATTCAATTTCAGCTTTGACTGTGTAGGACCTAAGTCCCCTTTCATTGCCAGGGGTATGTGTCTCATCCTTCAGAAAACATTGACAGAAACCCCTGTAATACTCAACAGGAGACAAATGAAAATTCTTGGACAAGGCTGAGAATACATGGCTGCCAAACATTCATTAGTTGAGAATTCTTGTATGAGATTTCAAAATACCATCTGTGTAAACACTCAAGAGGGTGCCAGGTCTCTGAAGTCAAAATCAAGATACCATTCAAATTGGACAGTTCAACAATGCTTACCCTCAAAAAGCATTAGTTCTGGTTATGACTTTCCCCCCTACAAAGTCTGTAATCAAAATGAGGGACCCCAGGGCAGACTTATCAACATCTGAATTCTACTCTGATAGCCACCAGCTCCATGTGGCTATTTAAGCTTACATTAAGATTAGTTAAATAAACTTAATTCATTTCCTCAAACTAGCCACCTTCTAATGCTCTGTGGCCACAGGGGACTTACTCTCAAAGTCATGGCTTCCTACCTATAACTGGGCCAAGGCTGGCTTAGAGTGTTTCAAGCATTGGGCAGCCAGTATGTACAGAACATGCTCTTAACCAAAAAGTGTCACAGACACCCTCCAGAGGAGATAGGGCCAGGTTACTGCAGCAGGGCCCAGACAATGTCAATGGATAACATGTTTGGAAAAACTTACATCCGTGATGCTTTGGATTATTTCAAAACTGGTCACGTTCTCATCCCACTTCTCTCGAAGGCCCCCAGCAGCTGGCTTTACACAGTCCCATACTTCCTCTGGTGTCGCACACAGAATCCCTTCTCCTCGATACCTGAAGCACAAAAAGGAATTTGACCCCAAAGCATCAATCAAACTTGTTTATCTTGGGATTATATTTAAGGAATGAAAGGTGGACCATGCCAAAGCCATCATATTTCCTTAGGACAGGCTGGCAGAGAAGGGGCTGAAATATGTTAGCCCACCTCCCCTTTGGCCTGCAGAAACAGGTGCTGTGTTTTTGTTTTTATTTTGTTTTACAGGAATATGGCTTTCTGGAAATGATTTAGATATAAACAGAAGCTAGTGCTTTTGGGGAAGATAATTGGTTAGTTGATCACAGTGTGTTAGGGTCGATTGGAATCTTTTGAGAAGCAAACTCTCTGACAAGCTTTGAGCAAGTGTGCACTTACAGGTTCCCTGGAAACTCCACAGATGGCCTCCAGGAAACTGACACTCCATTCTGTGAAAAGGCACAGAATCATAGAATTTTAGAGCTAGAAGGGCTCTGGAAGAACACCTGGCTCAGTCCCATGTTCTTTAGAAGAGGGGATGTACTCTCCAAGGTGACCCAACCCATTCAGGCAGAGTTGAGACTAGTAAAGCTGTCCCCACCGCAAGGGATGGGGAGGGAAGTCTTAAATGCTGAGGGTGGTTTTCAAATCATCTTAAATGCTTTTAAGTAAGTAATTTGGGGGTATTTGTTAAAATTTACAAGTGTTAAGTAAGAAAAACGATTCCCATACCACCTCTGGGACAAAGATGCTCATGCTAAAGAACGGAATAAAGGCTTAGAGCTTGGAGTTTCGGGTTCCAAATCTAACCACCATTTAGGGTGACCTTGGGTAAGTCACTCAGAAAAAGGGGCAGATTCTTGCTTTCTAGAGTCATTGTGAGCACAAGTCCACTATTTATTAAGGAAACAACCCCCTAAGGGATCCTCAATCCTGCTATGGGGGCTTGGAGTGCGATAAGCAAGCGGGAGAGGAGTCTGGGGACTTTGGGGTCCAGGCTCCAGGGAGCAGTCTCCGCGACCCCTTGCCGCCCAGCTTCTCACTCACGCTCTCCCGGCAAATCTTCCAGCCCGAGGCGTCTCGCCGGTACTGGAGCACCTTCTCTGCCACGGTCTCGCTCACGCGAGCAGCTTCGGCCAGGTCCATCCCCACCGGAGACGTGAAGCGAGAAGGGTGGTGCACTGATTGGGAGGCCGGAAACCGAGCCCTAGGCGGAGCCTGGAGCCCCGCCTCCGGCCTCCTGCTCCAGGATTGGTCCGGACCCACAGAAGATCACGCCCGACACCGAGATTGGCAGGTCGGGAGACTGACGGCCAGGCGCCGCAACTCGCACCACCGCCTGGGAGGGCTCACGATCCCCGGGCTGGTTCGGCAGTTTTGCAGCACCCGCCCAGAGCCTTGGTGCGGTTGGGGCGCTGGGTTGCGCCCAGTAGCACCCGAACCAGAAGAGGTCGATGATGGCCAAGTCTGGACAAACTCCTAGGGTGGTTTAACAAGGGTGTTCCGGGTACTGCTCTAAGGGAGGGAGAGGGAATATGCCTGGAGGCTTGGAGCAGCCGAGAAGGTGAAAGAAAATTAGTGGCCTGGAGCAGGGTCTAGAGAAGAGTGAGGAGGGCCGGGTAGGAGTCAGGAGCAGGAGGTGCAGAAAAGAAGACCGATCCAAGTTGAAGTGATTAGGAGGTACAATACAGAGCTCTCTGCCACTGATTAAAAGTTCAATGTAGAATATTTCTATAAATCTGTGGCTTGAAAGTCAGTTTGGGCCCTATTAGAGTTTTGTTTGGGTTTAAAGCTCTATGGAATGTCTTTCAGGCCTTTGTGAAAAGCAGGAGTTTCTGGGTCAAAGAATTTTGTTTGGGTTTAAAGCCAAGGGAAAGTAAGGTTGATGTAGAAAGTGATTTTGTTAGACATCAAACATTCAGGAGATGATTAACCTTATTAATCATGATTGTGAGGGATGGGGAAAAAGGAAGAAGCATCACGATTCCCGCTTGGCTTGCATAGCTGGTGGCTTAAGTGACATGGGGAAAGAGGTAGACTCTAGGAAGAAGATGGTGAAATTAGTTCTGGACATGTTTAGATGCCGGAGGGACCTCTGAATGGAGATATTCAGTGTGATGTGATGTGCTGTTATGTGAGAGAGGCTCTGGCTTTATATAAGGGATCTTATCAGGAATTCTTGCATCCAGGTGGCCTGGCCAGGGGGCAAGGAGGCACTGGGAGTGAGGTCTGAGGTTGGGTTGGAGTTACAGCCCCACAGGGAGAACTAAAAGGGCAACCTGTTTCTTCCTCAAGGTTATGTCCAACTAAATTTTTTAAAAGGTTGTTGCTGATGAAGCCAGAATTATACAGGCAGTCAGTATAGAGAGGTAAATCGAGTCAGGTCAGATCAAGGAGGTCAATTTTGAGTGAGTCTGAGAAGTTGGAGACTGTCTCCTGAGGGATTGAAATGTCAATTCCTTCAGAGCCCTTCCTCCACTCTTATCAAGAACCTGCCCCTGCTCCAACCTCCCTGTCCCAGAAATTTCCCCTCCCTACAGGGAGCTATAAGGTTGTTAATTAATGTGTTCTGGGCTGCTCCAACCCGCCCTTCCCCCTTCACCCACCTGTTTCCCACCTTTTGGCCCTCCCACAAGAATTCCTGGGCCTAGTCACCTATGCAGGAAGGAGAGAGATAAGAGGAAGAAAGCAGGAGAACAAAGGAAGCCTAGGACATTATAGAAAGGGCAGAACTCCTTGCTTCTTCGTATACCAGTTATGGCCCTCCCTCTCCCTCCCAGGCTCTGTGTGCTTCTCTATTGTTCAGACTTCAACATTCGAGGAAGCAGAACTGTCACAGATAACCAGCAGTATCACTGAGACCTATTTATGTTATTTTTCTTTATTGCATATTCATTTTTTAAGGTTTGAAAGAACAGTTTGGAAGACCTGAAGGGCTGCCGCTTCTGAGGAGGGCCTGGATAAAGAATTGGGGAACCTTAAGTCTCACACATTATTTGTTGTGTCATTTGGGTCAAGTCCCTTAACCCCTTTGAGCCTTAGTTAACTCCAAGGTGAAATGGGATAATAATGAATGTCTTCCAGGCCATTGTGAAAAGCAGGTGAAAGAATACATATGAATAGTTCTAGGAGCCATAGAGGATAAACTAAGTATCTACATTTTAAAAAAATATTAAGCATACCAAAATACCATTACAAGTTAGATAATAGGTAAAAATATATATATATATATATATATATATATATATATATATATATATATATATATATTGGGACACATTTTAACCAAAATTAAGTATCTTATTGGACAAAATGTTCTTAAAAATCAGTAGGAAAATTTTAAGCAGCTCCATAGGGAGAAAAAAAATGCATCAGACAGAGATACTTTGTAGAAAAATAAATCAGCAAAGCTAATAAGGACACAAAAAATATGTAGAACCTCAATCAAAGAATTTCAAATTAAAAGATACTTTTTTAAAACCTATCTAATAGCCAAACACAAAAAGGTTTGTTAATACCCTGTGTTAATGACATTATGGAGAAATAGTTTTATATTTGTTTTTAGACTGTGGATGGGACTATAGATGAATGCAACTCTCTAGGAACAAAAGTATCATGTTAACATATGCTCTACTTGTTCTTTGACCCAGAAACTCCTCCTAACAAAGGCATGTAAGATTGATTTTGCAACTGGAAACAAGCTATTTGTCAATATATTATACAACGTTACATTATATATATTTATTAGAATATTATGTAATCATTACAATAATGCAGCATGAGGCTAGAGTAAAAACCAATTGCTCAACAGAGCTGAGGCCCAGGCAGTCTGGCAATATTTGTTGAAATGAATAGATTTTTCTCACCAAGTACAGTTAACTCTCGCTAACGGACATGAATGGTGTTTATTGGTAGTAAGTTCTTACCCTTCTGCAGTAAAACTTTTTTGCATATGAACCAATAGGTAAAGGAATTCATATATTACATTATGTATTAGGTAAAAGAATACAGCAGTTTGAAGGGCAATGGCATTATGGATAAGTGAGCAGATTGTCTGGTTCAAATGCCAGCAGCATCACCTACTGGTCATGATCTTGGCAATTCATTGACCATCCCATACCTTAGCATTCTCGTTTGGACAGTGAAATAAATAATAGGACTAACAGAGTTGATGTTTAGGTGAAATGATTTAATAAAAAACAGAATGGTGCTTGACATACCGTAAATGTTTAGCATATGTTCATATATATCTTGAGTGAGAAAGAAATAATCAGAGATTAGAGATGTGCTTGATTGTGTTTATATGTTCATGCTTATATAGTCATTTGCTACATAAGGATGTTTTAGTTAATGACAAACAGTATACATGATAGTGGTCCCAGAAGATTATAACACCTACTGATGTCATAGCCATCTTATCTTATGTAAATTTACTCTATGATATAACAAAACCATCTAATGACACATCTCTTAGGATGTACTCCTATTGTCAAGCAATACATGAACATGTATGTAGGATGTTTATGTTCATATATGTATGTTTAGGATATTCACTTCTAGGAAGGGATAAAATAAATACTTAATAATGGAGAGTAAGGCCAACAGACATTTCTCTTTCATTTTTGATCATTATATTTGTTTTAGTTATTTTACTTAATAGCATATAGGACTTTTTAAATTAAAAAAAGACTCGTTAAAAATTCAATGTAGAATATTTCTATAAATCTGTGGCTTGAAAGTCAGTCTGGGCCCTATTGGAATTTTGTTTGGGTTTAAAGCTCTATGGAATGTCTTTCAGGCCATTGTGAAAAGCAGGAGTTTCTGGGTCAAAGAATTTTGTTTGGGTTTAAAGCCAAGGGAAAGTAAGGTTGATGTAGAAAGTGATTTTGTTAGACATCAAACATTCAGGAGATGATTACACTTATTAAAAAACAGCATGGAATACAGGTTTTTTAAAAAATAGCACTATAAGAATCTTTAATTTTTGCTTTCCCCAAAATGGGAAGTCCTGGGTGTACAAAATGTTTGGAGATGGAAACTGTCCTCAAGGACTGTGACAAACTGGCGGACTCAGTGGTGAGGCCAGGGCAGCCTTGTTGCAAGTGGCAGTGACCTATTTTGCCACTAGAGGCCAGCCAGCAAAATGCAGGATGAGCAGGTAGCAAGAGCAAAAGGGAGGTTGCCACTGCCCACACAACTGTCCTGGGGCAGTGATCTGTTTTGCAATCAGTTTGGGGCTGGAATCGAGAGTTGAAGGGGAAAGAAGAATGACTGACTGAGCTTTATAGATTCCATTGACCAGAGTCCCTCCCATGGGCTTCTCAATCACCCCCCAAAGTTGTCCATATCAGATCTTAATCCTAGTTTAATTTCAAACAGGTGTTTATGGGGCAAGGGGATCCAGCATCATATTACTGTTAGCTCAGGAAAATGTTATGTGAATCTACACAAGTAAGCACTTAAATGTATATGGTTATTGTTTGCTGAGCCATAAGTAATTGTTACTCAACACTACTGTTCAGGCCCTATTCTGTGTGCACTTTATGTATCATGCCTTTTAACTCTTGCAGAACTATGAGGTAATGAGTACTGTCTTCATTTTGCAGGTTAAGAAACTGAGATTACATAGAGTCTCTAAAGCCACATAGCTAGTGAAATGGAGTTTGTGGGTAAATACCCAGTTTCTATTTTCCAAGACTAAATGTATACTCACATGCTTTATTAAATCCACTTCCTATAAGCATATGTAACGTTTCCCATGACACGTGCACAGGCTTGGAGTAGCTTGAAAATTCTACCTTAGGCTAGAGAAAATGGTCTTTCAAAGATGTGCAGAAAGCTCGTCTCAAAATTTTCTGGCATTCACAAATTCTGAAACACAAATAGTGACAAAGGAAGCATCCCTAGTTTGCTAAGATGTTCACCAGACAGTTCTTATCAGGAGGAATTTGTTCTTCATTTTTAATGAATAGTTGTTCTGATCTCTGACACTTGAAAGGAGTTTGTTATAGAAGTGCTTTTGGTGAGATGTTTAGAAAATGCTTTCAGTAGTGCATTCTAGTTATACCTAACATTGGGGTTCATTTTGACCTATTCATATATGCATAGGATATAATTTGCTCCATTTAGATTCCGAGTACTTCCTATTTCCCTCCGGTCCTCTCCCCCCACCCCTAACCCCTTTCTCTATTCCACTGGTCTTCCTTCTATTTATTTATTGATTTATTTATTTTTAAAATTGTTGATGTTTGTGTGTGTGTGTGTGTATCATATATATATTCCATATATATATGGAATCCACTGTGGTATATTCGTGCTTCTTTATTAGTAGTTTTCACAAGTAACCCTGTGCCTCAGCAGATAAGATGCCCATTTTCTCAACAGCCTCACCCAAACTTAATCTTTGTAGCCAAAGATAATTGATTCAAACTGTAATCAGTTTGCTTTTAAAAACTTCCCCTTGCCACAAACACTTCATAGTCTACTGTGTCATTTGTATTACTATTGTGATGTCCACTATTCCTGAAGAAATTTAATCCTTTGAGAGTGTGCCTTGTTATTTTGATTGACAGTAGCAATAAAAAACAAATATCCATTATATGTCAGTTACTGGGAATGTAGAAACTAATGAACACCATTTTTGTTCTGAGGACACTCAGGGTATGCTGGAAGAGACAGAAATGTTAAAAAAGACACAATTTAGTATGGAAAGAATTATATGGAAATACAAATAGGGGCACAATCCTGGTTGACATGACAAACTGAACACATACTGCTGCCCAACACTGCAAAATGCCTGTCAAAGGATTAAAAGGGATCAGCCCATAAAGGTAAAAAAATTGTGAAGTAGGGAGGGTTTTTTTTGGTAGCAAAATATGGCTCAATGCTTCAAACTTGGCATTTTCTATGGCTATGAATTCATCTTCCACTTACCACAGGGAGAAAAGGAGGTCATTTCAAGCCACTTAATTGGCTACTGCAGTGTGAAAACTGTCAGAATCAAAAATGCAGTCACTTATGTCAAGCCCTAACAAGAAAGCAACAGAGCAGAGAGGTGAAAAAACAGATCTTCTCGAAAAACTTTGATGTCTTGGCTCCAACTGCGCCTATGAGTGAGCTTTGATCCCCATCCTTTCCAGTTAAACGAACCAATAATCCTTAGGTTAAACTTTGACTTATGTTTAGTCCATAGTGTCACAATTAATACAGACATACAGCCCAGTAAATGGTGTAAAAGAAGCTCTTGATAAATTTGTTACTGTCATCATTATGAAGTGGATTATTACTAGGCAGATTATTCCTACAAGCTAGGCATTGTAAAATCTTTAAGGGCAGCTACCTAATTTCTGTGTGCTTATTACTGGCATTTGTATGCTGAAAACGGCACGATATATATAGTTCACTCAAATCACTAAAGGAAAGAACAGAATCTCTGGAGACTTTTGCTGTTGCAATGAGATATCTGGCTAGTTTATGATTTGCAATCACCCTGAATAAATGCAAAGGACTCACATTTTCTTGAAATGATGGCCTGAAAAGACTCCAGGAAATCACACACTCGTGTATAGATAACTATAGACTATATGGTTGTAGCCCTGTGAGTCTCCAGGCCTCCACCAGAAACCATAGATGTGCTTGAATATGCTATGGAGCCTTCTAATACCCACCAGATGTGGTAAGACCAGGTGCAGTCCCGGTGCTTCAAAAGGGGGCCAATCTGTGTGAATATGTCACTGGAGGAAGCCTAGACATTTGAACAAATTAGATCACTCAGATCCGTCATCAGTGCCTGTCTGGACTTGGCCTTTCTCTTGCCGATTTGGCCAGAAGATCTTGAGAACTTGCCTTGGCTGTGGATTACTTGTAGGTATTGGTCAGTGCCGCTGTTCTGCTGGTCGCTACTGGAGGCTGCTGATATAGAATCAGATTCTGTGAAGGATGGCTCAAACTTGGGCTTGGCTCTGGGCTTCAGCAGATGCTGTGGGTATTGGAAATGACGGGAGCGTGTTTTTTTGTGCACATACATAGGCCTGTCAAGGTGACCCTCAAAATCATTATTCTCAGAACTGTAGTGCATCCATCCCTGGTGTGCAAGATCTAGAGCCTCACTTTCTGACCTTTCACCAATATAAAAGTGAGGAGCCTGATGAAGGTCTGTCAGTGAGTGAGGTGGGAAGGACTGTTTGACCAGCTCTCTCCTCAACATCTCCTCCTCTTCTTCACTCAGCTGTGGAGAGCAAGGCTGGTGAGGGGCCCTGGATATGTAATGCTGCGTGTTCCTGGGGTACCTTTCCACAATGTCACCTGAAGCATCTATCTTGAAATGTCTCTCTGAACAGAAAGCTGGACGGGATTTTTTGTGAGAGTCACGTTCATTAATGATATAATATCTTGGGGCATGAGGTCTGTGACCATGTGCCACCAAGGCAGAGACCCCAGATCTATGGAGAGGAGTGTTGATTTGTTTAAAGTCTTTCCTGAAAAGAGGTTCTGAGTGAACATCTTCAATATGCCTTGTCAATGTCACAGGTGTGCAGGATCTGTTCTTGTGAAGGTCACCTGTGCTTGCACACAGACCATGTTGATACCTGTAAGACAGAGGTAGTAAGTAACTACCACCTTAGTGGCTCCTAGCCCCCACCTGAGCACTATGAGCTAGGGAAGTGCTAGGTTCCCTCAGCATTATGACCAATTCCAGAATGTTCATGTGGGTTCTATGGCTTATATGTACAGAAACACTTGGGGAACTGGACCAAATAGATTTCTTCACTGCTGGAATGCTCAGAACCCTAATGCATTGTCATGTTCTGCCAATCTCCATGGGTGGGAGTGTGTAGGGCAGTGTTTTGTTTTCCTAATGTATCTTGCTATGGAGCTCTCATTCCGCTTAGGAGCATGTCATGGGACTGATGTTGGCAGAGCACATGTTATGTTCCTTCTCATTTTTGCTAAGCAGCTGTCCAGCCTCTCTGGAACTTCCTTGAGTTTCCACTGGGAGGAGTTGATGTCTATCAGAAAGTTCTTCCCACATGACTCCCACCTGTGTCTGGTTTGACCCCCCAGTGGCCTTTTCAGGAGAATTTGAATCCTACTCCTTGTCAAGAGCCTGCACAGATGAGAGACAACCCCTCATATAGGAGGCTTCAAGTTCTTTGGTAACTTAGTCATTGCTTAAAAAAAAAACACAAAAAGACAAAATGAAAAACTCTTATCTATATTGCTCCCACTCTGCTATATTCTTGATATGATTTTGGGTCAACATAGGCCTGTCCTTTTGTCTTTTTAACACTCTACTTCTATCAAAGGAAGCAGGGTCTTTGCTTTCTTTTATGGAAGACTGAGCCCTTTAGCCCCACTTAATGCATAGATGACCTTGCTGAGACCTTGATGGCCCAAAGCTGATGACTTGCAAATTCTATGGCCAGTCTGGAGCTTAAAAAAGACGAAGATAAACAATTACAAAGGCTTTTTGTTTTCTTGGGTTATAGGAATATGTATCTAAGATTGGCAGGAAGATTTGCCTACAAGGTTATCCTACAGAGAGTGTAGGAGGAAGAATTTGTTCTGTTTGAGAAACTCCGACCCCCTCCCTTACTGCTTTTATTTCTTCCCAGTATCAGCTGTCACAGTCTGTTGAACTCCTAGCCAGCCTCTGGCAGAATGAAATTTAATGGCCCTAGTCTCCTGAAAGTGTTGAGTCCTGCAAACTCTTAATGGCCCTTCTGCCTACAATCTCTGTGGCCTCTGAGCCATTGCTGGCATCACATTCAAGGATGCCAGATTTCCTTCTGCCTTCGGTTAAGCCTCACCTGTTAGAATTGTGCTCTGGCCTCGACTGGGAGGTGTCAGGAAGAGGTGAGCAGGGCCCCCTGTGCTCCATCCTAGGACTCTGGAGCATGGGTTGGGTAATTGTTTCTATCCTGCTGCTCTTGCTGCTCAGTGAGTCAAAACTGACCATGTTGCCATTGTTTTGGGGTGTTGCCATGTGTGCTGAGGACAGCTGGCTGACGAGGTCACTGTCCTTTGGAAGTTTCTTGGTGCTTTCCTCCTTGGTCTGGATTCGAGCTACAGGTAAAGACAGGTTATATAACAAAATGACATGTGAGTAAATGACACAATCAGGCTTATTATACTATACTATGTATATCTTAAATGTCCCCCAGTGGCCCTATGTTAAATGCTTGCTCCCAAGGACAGAGCTATTGGGAGGTGGTAGAGACTTCAGAGGATGGGGCTTAATGAGAGGTCTTTAGGTCACTCAGGGAACACCCTTGAAGGAAGTTGTGGGACCACACTCTCTTCCACTCTTTTGTGCCTTGGCCATTAAGTGAACAGTTTGGCATGACCACATGCTCCTGGCCAACTAATCATGGACTGAAATTCCTAAACTTATGAGCCAAATTAAACCTTCTCTTTGAATAAGTTGATTATCTCAGGTATTTGTCATAAAAGAATAGAAAGCTGACTAACACAAGGCTAAATTAGCTGTAAGAGTTTCATGATTGCTAACGATTGATTCTACAAAGCAATTGGGTGCATTTGCAAATATACCCAACCCGTGGGCAACAGACAAACTGTAATTCAAATCATCCTATCATGAAAAGTCAAAGCAAGGAGACTAAAAAGAACAGAATGGACCCAGAGACTCTACAGTGTGCCATTTGATGCCTCCATGAGAAAAGACGGCTCCATTAACAACTTCAGAGCTCTAATTCCTCATCTACACGATGAACATAATAATGCTTATGTGCCTATTAAGATTTTTGCAAATAGTTCATGTGACATTCTGAAAAAATCATGTGGCTTTGAACTGGAAAATGAACAATGCTATTTTACCTTGAGAAAGTCAGTATAAATCTTGGCTTTTGAAGGTACTACCTGAACTAAACTTAATTATTCTTAATTACCAAGTAATCCCTGACAATTATGGTGAAGTTTTATAGCATGAGCCATGGTCACTTTCCATAGTTAATTGTTCTTTAGTGGCTTTTCTCCACAAAGGTGAATGCAGCAGGCATATCCCTTAGGCCTCATGACTCTCACTGGCATCTCTTTGGAGAGGACTAGGTATATCTCAATAAGCTCAGTATTAAAACAGTGACAGAAGTTGGCCCAGGGAACCTTTCTGAGCCCTTTCTCATTCTCATTCTGAGGGGCAGCATGGGCTATTCCAGTCTAATGGTGCCAGATAAGCCTTCTGGCTCAAGGCGTGCTCTGTTAGTGGTCCCAAGAAGCAGACCCCCTCCCTCTTATTTTTGAGCTGCACCTGCCCACTTGCCTCCCTTATGACCACACCAAAAGTCTGCTCCCCATGCTTCCATTTCTTCTGGAGCACAGTTCTTTCTCATTTTCCCAGTGAGCTAAGATGGGAATGAGTTTGGAGAACCTGGGGAGAAAAGGTGTACTCTTGGAGAGTCCTTGGATTTGGATCCTTACTCAGGAATCCATTTCTCCAGGTCTTCCCAGCAGGCATCACTTGGTTTTACTGGGATGGAGAGGACAGGACCTATGGAGGCTGGGCAGAGACCTGGGAGGACAGTATTGAGGTGAGGACGACATGGAACAGTGGAAGAAACAAGGTAACACTGCACAAAAAGAAGAAGATAAGGATGTCCTTAGGGTTTTGTTCCAGATGTGCTGGTTTTGTTTTTTTTTTTCCTTCTCTCCTACTTCAGAACCTCCTCTGATTTCTCTGGGGGTTATTTATAGGCATGATGTAAAATTTGATTATTTAAGCAGATATTTATAGTCCTACATTTTATTTATTTATTTTTTGTGCCTAGTTAATTGTGAAAACCACTATGGGCTCTTGGGGAATTTTTATTAGTGGTGTGCCTTACATTACCTTACTGCTATATTTAAAAATGCCCATCAATTGAGATATCAGACTTTTGCATTTTTAAAATATACTTACCTTCCACCATTTGAGCAACCTTTTTCTTGTCTTCAGATCTTGCCTAAAATATAAATGATAATCATTATATTTGTTTTGGACTTAACACAAAGTAGTAAAAATTTTTGTTTTTCAGAGGAAAAAGATTTATGTGCTATTGTTGATACCTTGCACCATGACTGAACCCTGGCAATAGAGCATCCTGGGCTGGGTCTACTATTTGAGTGAACAAATGCAGACACCTAAGAGTCAAAGTTTCATACTTAATCAGTCTTATATAGGGACAGCTAACTCGTGGACCATGTGTAGATTCCGACAATATAGTTTGAGTATCCCTTATTTGACATGGTTGGGACTTGAAGTTTTTTTGGTTTCAGGTTTTTCTAACATTTGGAATACTTGTTTATACATGCTGAGAGGTTTTCGGGATGAGACCCAAATCTAAACATGAGATTGATTTATGGTTCATGTATACCTTACACACAGGGTTTACAGGTAATTTTATATAGTAGTTTAAATAATTTCATACCAGAAACAAAGCTTTGTTGTGTAGAATGTTCCACTGTGGCATCATGTCATTGCTCAAAAAGTTTTGAGTTTTGGAGCATTTCAGATTTTGGATTTATTGATTAGGGATGATTAGTCCATGATAGCTTGCCCAAGTAACAGAGAAAACATGGATCAACAACAATGAAGATATAACTGGCAAAATGCCCTTTGCAAGTCCAGATGCATTTTTTTAATTTGACTTTTCATAAAACTAATTTAATAAATTTACATGAATTAATATTTATGGAAGTCTTTTTTAACTGAAAAGGGTGGAAGGAGCTTTGTTTGCTTGGGGTCAGGATGAAGGTAAAGTAAATGAGTTATCCAGGGCACTTCATTTAAAAGTGTGTATACTCTGGGGACAGTGAAAGGGCAAGGTTAGCACAACCTCAAGAAAGCTTCTTTAAATTTGCTATCCTAGGTTTCTTCCTGGACTCACCCTCGCCCTGACCCTGAGGGAGCCCCTGAGTATGCAGAGGAAGAGACACTGTGGACAATTTGGGGAGTGTTTGTCTCTGACTGCTCTGAGAGGGTCTGAGTTGCAGATATGAGAGAAGGTCAATAATATACAGAATCTAAAGGATATGAAAGAGGTGAGCCTTTGGGGAGAAGACAGCATGGTTGGGTTGAGATGTCCAAGTTGACACAGGATAGAAAGTGGCCCTTTCTCTTCCCTGCCAGTCTAGCAGAGTCTGCAGAAGTGCCTGGCACATGGAGGGCTGGCTAGGTGAGGCCTCATGAGGAGCATTCAAGTGCCCAAGACCCATTGCAGAGAAGGAAAAAGACAAGTAGGCTTGCTCCTGACTTGTGTGAGCTGCCTCTGGGAATCCTGAGAAATAAATCTTGGAGGTGGTGGACTTGGGCCACAGAGGGCATCCAAAAGTCATAGACATCTGAAGGGCAAACAATTTTCATTTATGTGCTGGAGAGAGGGTTGATGGTTGACCCACATTCATGAGAGGGAAATTTATATAGTACTTGCTTTTTGGATCTGCATTCTGAGCTGATGGTTGCTGAGCTTCAGTGATCGTGCGATGCTCTGAAGGTAATAGATGAGCATGCTAAAATAGAAGACAGACTGGTGAGTGCACTGCAATTGGGCTCTTTGACTTTCAGGACACATTTCCCAGCTCAGGTGGTTGGTGGAAGTAAAAACTCCTCCACCATGGTCAAAATCTAGTGGGGAGTTCCCAAGCCCATGAGCACTGGAAAGGAGCTACTGTCCTCTTTTTTCTCTTGCTTTCTCCAGCAACCCCTGTTGACCTGGAATGCTGCACTGGTGATAGCAAGAAGAAGTGTGAAGAGATGAGGGCAGGGGCATTTTGCAATGATGTTGCAAGCTGTGAATACTGGCTCTACTTGTTCTTAGGTTTCTGTTTAAGTCAATATGAGCTAAAGCTACTCAGATGAATTGTGAAGTTCATTTTTAAGGTTAATTAAATAAGATATTGATATGAATGGTGTTCAGCTCCTCCATTTTCATGGCCACGGTAACTTACCAAAAGTTGAGGATGAGTCAGTCCATAGATAGCAGTAGAAACATCCCTTCTCTCACTGAGAACCACTGGCTGTGTTTCCACAGCACAGTGGTTGTGTGACTCTGGGGTGTGACTCAAGAGTCGGTGCTTAGATCATCAGGCTTGGTAACTGATTAATGAGTGAACTAATTAGTTTTTTATACTTATTGGAAAGCGGTGTTGTTTTGTGGCAGAGGCTGGCAGGCGTGGATGGTACTTACAACAGAAGCAACACAGCTGGCAGGATGACTATGGGGCTGCTGATGTACCCAACCACAGAGCCAAACCACACGGGGAAGTCGTTCTCAATCGTTTCTGACACGATGTCATAAATTTTCTCTTGTCCGCTGTGAGAAAGAAAAACATAACTCTGGATTTTATTGCTTTTAGCAGAAAGATGCTAAGACAAGACATTGAAAAATGTCTGGATGCCTAGAGGCAGACACTTAAAGTCATCTAGAACCAATACAGGTAAATATCCAAATGGAAAAGATAGATAACATTCTCAAGGTACCCATGAAGCCATTAGCTAATTAAATATGTAGGATTAATAATCACATTGCATATGCATGTGTTTTATAGCATACACAAAGATAGACTCTTTGTTACATACATGTTGTATCAAAACTGATTTAAACTCTAGGTGGAAATGGTATTATACTTTTCTGTCTGGAGATAGATAATATAAAATAAAAAGTGATATGGACTATCTTTTAATAAAACTGTCTGGGGTCTGACCAGGTGTAATTTCACTCTAGCACAGGAGTAATATATTTCCTTATTTTATTCTAACTAATTAGTTTATATATTTATTGTTTTTGTGATGCTATGAATTAAACCAAGGGGCATTGTACCACTGAGATAGATCTTTTTAGTTCTTGAGATAGGGTGTTGCTAAGTTGCTGAGGATGGCCTTGAATTTGTGACCCTCCTACCTCAGCTTTCAAAGTCACTGGAATTACAAATGTGAACTCCTGTGCCTGGCTCTCTCTTTTTTTTTTTATTTTAAAGGAGCTTTAGTTTGTGTTTTTTTTTAACATGGGCATAGAGATGACTATATCTAAGGACAGCATGCTATCAAGGAAAGAGTTTCAATCTTGGCTTCAAATGATGCAGATTTGAGCTCCTTCTGTTCTGTCTGCCTATTCTGTGAGCCAAGAGAAAAATGTGATTCACTATGACTCAATTTCCCTACAGCTCGAAGTGGCTCCATGAATAGTCAAATGAACTAAAATAACTTACCTGAATGGCCCGCAGTTTAGAGATGGCTTGTATCGGACAATAGCAAAAATGGTCGGCAGCATACATAGGAATAGCATGAACAGGAGCATTGCCAAATAGAAGTTGTTGGATCTGCCAAGAAACCAAATGCACTGGATTGAGTTCATTCCATAGTGATGATGCATATAAGAACTGACACAGAAACTGTCACCCCCAACTCTTGCAGACAAGAAGATGTTTTATCAGAGCTACCTAGGAAGGTGCAAGCCCTAGGGCCACATACAACTCAGAAACCTGAAAATCAGTACTAAAAGGAACCTTACAGACCTGCCAGCCCAGTCTGTTCGTCTAATAAACATTGGAAAAGCACCCGTCCATCATGAGGACAATGAGCCCACTTATGAACCCATGGCTCTTACCCAGTAAGCTCAATTTATGGAAGAATCTTGGAACCACTGTCCATCCACCGGGGCCTTACCTAATGCTTCCCTCTTATACTCTCACCCTTGAACTGTGTCTCTTATGTTCCAGAATGGTTTTGTTCTTTTGTTTTGACTCTTGACTCTCTCACTTGGAATGCACTGACACTGAACCTCTTTACCTGTCTGCTTCTGGCTGTTTAGGGTAAGTGTTCTGCCTGATTGAGCTCTGGTTTCTGGTCTCTGAGCCCTGAGCTGCTATCAGCGAGCTTGACTGCCCAGGCCACCCCTGAGGGTACCTGAAACCTACTGGATGTGCAAGGCCCCCCCCACCGTTCTGAAAAGAGAATTTGATCAGTCCATCTAGTGACCCTCAGCTAGCACTCTTTGGTCTGTTTCTAAACAATGAGTCTTGATCATAGTGTACAGGATGTAATACTAAGCTGTTAGGGTTTAAGTGTTTGTTCTCTCCAAAACTCATATTGAAATTTGGTTGTCTTTGTGGCAGTGTTAGGAAGTGGGACCTTTGGGGAGGGACTTGAGTCTTGAGGATGCCACATTTATGGGTGGGATTAATATAGATATAAAAAAGTAAGCTCAGTCCCCCTTTAATTTTTTATTCTTCCTCTCCTCTACCATATAAGGAATATTGTTCTTCATTCTGCAGAATGCAGCATTTAAGGTGCCTTAACTCAGCTCCCTGGTTCTCACCACTCACCAAACCTGCTGGTGCTTTGACCCTGGACTTCCCAGTCTCCAGAACTGTGGGTGAATAAATTTGTTCATTATAAATTACCTGGTCTCAGGTATTCTGTTATAACACCACAAAATGGACTAAGAAGGTGAATGTTAATTTACGAAAATTTCTCTTTCTACCCCCCCTAAACAGAGAAAATGTAGACACACATACAAAACAAATTTTTATAAATATATTAAAACATATACCTGAATGTAAGCATATATGTGTACTATTCTCCACATAAACTGTAAATACATTGCCATGCACACCATAGTTAAACATTTTGAAAATCACTAATATAGATACACCCCCCACACACAAACTATTAATGTCAAAGTAACATAGCTGCACTATAATCTGGTATTCAAAATGTATTATGAATTCACTAACATGGCTAAAATGAGAAGCAGAAAAATAACATGTATTGGCAAGGTTGTGGAACAACTGGAACTTCCACATAGTGCTGGCAGAAGTATAGAATGGTGTGGCCACTCAAGAAAACTTTCTGGTGCTCTCTACTAAATGTGAACATCTGCATGCACTACAACCTGGCACTTGCACTGCTGAGCATATCCCCAAGAAAAGAATAAGAATATTCAAGAATATTCAATATTCATCTATAGGTAACAGCTGGAAACATACATGTGTATTGGTAGTAGTATGGATAGAGAAATAGGGATATATTTCCTCAGTAAGATGACCCTTACCAATATAATGTTGAGTGAAAGAAGCTGAATATGAAGGAGCACATCCTATATGTGTTTCCATTTACATGAAGTAAAAAGCTAGGCAAACCCAACCATGCCATTAGAGGCCAGGGGTTATTGGAATGGAATATAACTTGGGGTGTTCTGAGCATCATTCATATTCTGTATTTTGATTTAGGTGCTTATCACATATTTATGTTCAGCTTGTGAAAATCCATCAAGATAAAAATTTATGATTTGTGCATTCTTTCCCCAAATGATTATCAATCCTCAGTTTTTAAAAATGTATGTTATGGTTTGGATATGAGATATTACCACCCCCAAACAAATTCCTGTGTTAATGCAGGAATATTCAGAGGCTAAATGATTGGATTGTGAGAGCTTTAACCTCATCAGTACATAGTTTGAATGGTCTGACTGGGTGGTAATTGTAGGTAGCTGGGGTGTGGCTGGAGGAGGTGGCCACTGGGTCCCTATAGCACCTTCTCTTCTCTCTCTGCTTCCTGGCTGCCATGAATGGACAGCTTCCCTTCTCTGTGCCTTTCTACCATGATGTTCTGCCTCATCTTGGGCTCAGAGCAATGTTGTTAACCCACCCTGTACTGAATATCTGAAACTGTGAGCCAAATTAAACTTTTCTTCCTCTAAGTTGTCCTTGTTGGTATTTTGGTCACAGTGGTGAAAAGTTGACTAACACAATGTGTCATGAGGTACAGAGGAATAACAAATAATTCTGAGGGTGAAGCACAGGAAATGGCTTCAAGAAGAAAATTAAAAAAGAGCGGAGGCAGAATTTTGACAAGCAAAAAGTGGGGAGACCCTTGCTGGGCACAGCAACATGGATCATGTATGTTCTCTGCCAAGGCAGATCTTGTACTTACTGACCTGGAGGCTCGGAATACCTGCTGGTGGGGCACGTTGCAAGTCAGCACAGCCCAGCTCCTCAGATACATGAGCCCAATGAGCTTGAGAACATTGAATGCTGGGAGACACGGGGAGAAGAAGGCTCCCATCCTAGAACCATGAAGAAAGTCAGTTTGTGTACCTTCTTTTCCAGTGCATCTTACAGGTCTGTGGTCTGGAAACCCCAGAGAGGAAAGTGGTTCAGAGACTTTGGGGTTTACACCCTAAGCTTAAAGGATTGGGGAAGACCTCTGAAGGTCTGAGAACCCAACCTCCACATTCTAGAGGAAAGATAAGTCCCTGCAGATGGTTGGTGATCCTATTTTTGATATATCCTTTTGCACCACAATTTGTGTCTGGCACGGCCCTCCTGGGACAGGAAATGCTGGATACCTATACCTTGGGGTAATCTCAGATTTTGCCTGTCTACAGTGAAGATGATGTTAATGAACTACTGAGTTTCAATTTTAATCATATAGGTTGAGCGCCAACTTTTGAAGAACATCCTGACACATTTTAGTACATCTACCCTTTTGTACTTACAAAAGGAAGGGTAAATATGCAAAGCAATTTTACTAGTAGGAAAATAAGTATAGGTAAAAGGATATGTTTAATAAGTAAAAGACTTAAAATGCTTGATTTCTTGTGGCAGGCAGAAATGTCATTCTGTCTGACGTTAGGAAAGATACGTGGCTTCCTTGTGCCTCAGTCTCATCTTTAACAGGCAGACAATGATGGCCCATTAAATCATAGGGTTACAATAAAAATTAAATCATTCACTTTAAAAAATGCCCGATATCTAGCAATACTGAGTACATGTTACATGTACTGTATTGTGAAAATATTTCTCAAAATACAATGGACTATAAGAACACACCATTTGACTGTAGGAATATTACCTTATGGCTCTCAATTCCCCAGACATTTTAGTATTTTAGCGAATGATTTTGAAGCAATATTGTGTTTTCTGAATGTGTGAAAAAATCCAAGGTTTTTTTTCTTCATTTGCATGTGAACAAATAGCACTCTTTGTGGTCCAATAGGTAAAAGCAGGATGTGGGATAATTTACAGGGCTCTTCCTGCACCCTAACACACATTCTTGTGCATTGGATGACCCCTGTGGGTTGACAGTGTCTGTAAGAGCAGGGCTGCCTTGCCTGGGAGGTGCTTGGGTGAACAGACTTCCAACCTTCATCTTCTGCCTCCCCTGTGAGGTGGGTCTGTTAGTCTGTGGTTTGGCCCTGCTCCTGTCAAAGTGAAAACCAGGAGCAGAGGGGAAGCTGAGGGTAGGACTGACCCCAGGTTTTCCAGCTGTGAGCACCAGCACTGTTGAAGCCCTGGCTGGGCAGAAGCAGCCCCTCCCCCTGGCCTCCCCCAGTTCTTCTCAGCAACTTATTCTATTGATTCCTACGCAAATTTTGTTGTTGTTGTAATCAATAGCAGTTAGAATCAGACTATTCCCTTCATCATTGCTTACCACAAAATCCTTATAAAACCATTAATGAAATTATTACATGTGTGGAATATTTCCCTTGTAAGACCCTATCACTGTTTTTTTTTCTGGTCATGACCTATCCAAATGAATCAAAATCTTAGTCCAGATGGCAGATGAGCGAAGACAAGAAGCTTTAATACCTACCAAATCATTCCTTGGTTGTAGACTAAGTGTAGCACATTCTCAGCTATTTTGAATTCCCCATATTCAGGCTAGAAGAGAAAAAGAATTTCCATGTTAAAAATAAAAGTTGGATGCCAGAGATGGTGGTGCACACCTGTAATCCCAGAAACTTGGGAGGCTGAGGCAAGAGGATACAGGTTTAAGGCCAACCTCAGCAACTTAGTGAGGCCTTAAGCAACTTAGTGTGACCCTGTCTCAAAATAATAAACAAACAAACAAACAAACAAATAAATAAAGGGTTGGAGATGTGACTCAGTGGTTAAGCGCTTCTGGGTTCAATCCCTAATAATAATAATAATAATAAAGGAATATTGCAAAGTCCTTTTTATAATCCAGTTCTTTGCTCTGACAGACACTAGAGAGTCTTGCCTGTGTGGTCACTCAGCAAATGGGAAATTTAAGATGCAGGGTGAAACTCAGACCTCTCCCATCTTCCATCGTGTATTTTCCCTGATATGTCCTTTCAGCCATGCCTGGCTATTTCTCATGTCCCTGGCATTAGGAAAAGATGCATTTAGCCATAGAAACTTCCCCAAGGACACAGCATTTTACTTACAAACTTGCTTTCCAGGTCCCAACACCAGTAATCACTTAAGTAGCGAACAAAAAGTCCTCGGAAGAAGTCTATGAGCAGGATGCTTGCCACTGTGAAGAGCATATCAATGATGGACAGCTTCAGCATCTCCTGCAACATGGGGTAGGAGAGAGTCTCAATTGCCACCATGTCCCCCGCCTCCAAAGCCCTCTCTTCCTCCACAATGTTCTCGTCTCTGTCCTGGAGCAGCCAGTGAGCCCTCCAGGGGCACCTTCATTTTTGCATCTCTATTGGGTGCAGCAGGTAGAGGGGACGGCTTCTGGCACATAATAGATGCTTAATAAATATTGGTTAATTTGAATTTGGATTCTGACATATACAGCCAGAGTTACAGAAAACTAGGAAAGAATCTGAGTTCTATGGTTCTGAGTCACAGGAAACTCATTTCCATGGGATAATAATGGAGTATTGAGACGCTCTGCACAAGGTTAAATTTCAAAGATGAAAGGCGAAATGGTTGAGGACACAGATTTTGGAGCAGATGTCTGGGTTCAAGTCTTTATCCTGCTGTTTACTGGGTCCTTGGGCCTCATCTGTGCCTATAAAGGGTGATACAGTAAAACTCTCATAATGACATTGCCCAGAACATAGTTACTACTGCACAAATCTGTGCACTAATTATAATTATTAATGCTTAGACCTTGAAAAGCAAAAATCTTAATGAATTTTACTTTCCTTTTCTGGAAAATAGTTGCAATAATGCCTCCAAGAGTTGCTAGATTGGAGGCAAAATGACTTTGTAAGGGACAAAGGGAAGCACCTGGCCAACGTATGTTTCCCAGCACTGGCCTTGCGGGCTCAGAGTGTGGAGCGTAGTCTTGTTGGCCTTGGTGAGTGGCATGGTATAAGTTGGGATACTGGTATCTTCCAAGACCCATGTGCTGTTTGTCCTGAACCCCATTCCAGACCAAGGTGTGGACCATTTCCCTTCTCCAGGGGCTGCCTTGGTGACGAAGAAGGAATCTATCCAATGACTTTTGTTATTTTTGGTGTTAATTTCCTGTGGAGAGAAAGAGAGGAAAGGGAAAAAAGAAAAAAAGACTGAGCACCTGTTTATAAATAAGAATCCATAATGGACACCACACCAAAGTTATCATTGGATTACCTGGGAATAATTACATTCTCTCTCTCTTCTTCTCATCCCACTTAAATAGAGTTGGCCCCAATCATGGGACACAGAGATGTAATGGATAGTGCTCGTTGGTCCCTGCTGTCCTGCCTGCTCCATAACACATGGTATCTCTTCTTCAGGTAAAAATTATCACCCCAGGTTTATGACTAGAAGGTAATTGCTCGAGCTCACATTGCAAGTAGCAGGTAAGGACCTAGGTCTATGTAACCTCAAAACCCTGATGTGGAAAAAATGACACTCTGTGGTCTCTTCTGCCTACAAGCTTTGAGAGCTGATGTGTTGTGGACAAACAACCCTCAGAAAGCTCTTCCTCCTCCCTGGCATCCCCTCCCCCCACCACTCAGAGGTTCCTCAGTCCTCAGGTTGGAAAGGGAAAGTTAACCCCCTGGGCTAGGCTGGTGAGTCTCACTGAGAACTGTTTGCCATGAGATGATTATTCTCTGCAAATTGTCAGAATGAGCCTCTTGGCCTGCTGTTCTTTCTGGGATCATTTGTAATAGCTGTGAACAGCTTCTCCTGATTAGATTCAAGGATATAGGGCACAAAGAGATATGGAATCAAAAGCTGCAAAAACTGTTCCTCACTAGCCATGAATCCCAGCCTCAGTTTCTTTATTTGGGAAATGGGAATAATTTTTCTATCCTCATCTTGAGAAGACCGCAGCTGAGTTGAGTTTGGATATGATATATGAAATGCAAGTATAAGCAGTGATGCTGACAATTATGATAATGACCCAGGTGTAGGGAGATGAGGTGGAGTGGGGAGGGTGATGATGGAGCAGGTGTTTATCCCCATCTGGGCACTCACCTCAATGCTCATGCTGTTTACTTTGTCCAGGAGGGCAATGATCAAACTGTAGAGATTTCCCAAATACAGCACAAGGACCCTGAAAGCAACAAACAAGTCCATGGGTAGACCTATCCAATAGTTCTAGACTACTGGGGATATTCTAAGACAATAGCTGTCATGCTTCTATCTTTTAAATCACCTTGAGGTTATTCAAATACAGAATTCCAGAATCTACCCTGCTTCAGTAGCTCTGTGTGGGGTCTCCATGTCTTACATTTACTCTTTCCAGATGATTTCCACTGTAGCCCATCCTTGGATCAGCATTTTAGGAACACTAGTGTAGTGGGAGTGTGTATTTAGGAAGTGGTGTACTAAAGGATAGTATAAAATACATGTCTCTGTGCCATGTTTTCTGGTTTATAAAGGTTCTTCCCACGTACTATCTCATATGATCTTCATACAGCTCTATGAAGTTCACAGCCAGATGAACTCACTTAAGACACAAGTCAACTAAAACATGGAGGGGCTGAGTAACTATTCAGTCTGATCAGGTTAGAAAGAATCAGATGCAATCTCTGAATCTCTGTGCTCCCCTTAGAAACACAGATGGGCTTCAGATACAGCTGTACCATGTGGACCACTGGAAGTGAATGGAATCTTCCAGCAACAATCTCCATCAGCCAAGGACCAAAGACTTGATGTCAGTTTGTTCAGAGTTGAAAAGTTGGGGAAGCCTATCATGGAATAGCCCAGGATGCAGCTTTGATTTCTTATGGGAAATCTGTATGGAGAAATGAGATGGGGTGTTTCTTAGCACATGGAGAATCATGAAATCAATGTCAGTTACTGGGAAAACAGCTTTATCTTGAGAAAACAGAAACCAGGACCAAATTGAACCCTGAGTCGACCATCCCCACAGACTTTCTTTACCTCCTCAAGTTAGAGGTGACCACCCATGTGGGGGCAGAGGCATCACAAGGGGAAAACCATGTAATATCCAAGGCTTTCTCTCTGAATTGTGAAGGGACTTCTTTTGGTACAGTGCCAGGACCTTTTTAATTCAGCACTTATATTTCCTCATGCAGGAAATAGACCGTCAGAGTATATACAGTAAGAGTTGTCTGAAGGAAGTGTGGAATGAATCCCACCTCCTCAGTCTTGGCATCCCATGGCTCTGGTTTTCACTATGCCATGGATGAAAGGTAACATGGTCTGCTGGTGAGTTAATGGAACTAAAATAATATGTCTTGCTGTTATTATCAAAATTAGCCCTGATTTGTCTGGGGCAAGTCTTTCAATGTCTCTGTTTCTCTGGTTTTGAACATGAATAACGAGGCCAATCTGTATAATAGGATTGCTGTTAGACCAAATGCAATAATGGAATTGATTCTCCCCAATGCCTGCTAGTGAGGAAGGAGCTGAAGAACACACTTCTCTTGTTCAGGTCTAAGAGGTGCTGAATGGAGCAGAAAGAACCAGGTTAGGAGCCAGGGAACTAAAAGCCTCATTCTCCAGCAGAGCTACCCTGAGAGGTGAGGCTCAGGCAAGCCCTTTGTTCTTTCTAGTCAGTTTTTGTTTGTTTGTTTGTTCTTCACCTTTAAAATGACAGTTGTATTTCATGGGGTCGGCAAGTGATAGTCTTCAAATCAGACCTTACCCTTCCCTATTTTTGTGAAAAGTGCTGGAATACAGCTTCACCCTTTCATTTGCATATAGTTTCTGTGGCCACTTTCTTGCTACAACCTTAGAGCTTAGCGTTGTGACAGAGATATCTAAACTCTAAAATATTTACTATAACATCCTTTCCAGGTGTTTGCCAACTCCTGAACGGGAGCAAATCTTTCCAAAGTGGTTTGTGAAAATTAGTTGTGGAGAATGTTATTAGGTGTTACAGGAGAAAACTGGGTGAAACTGGTAGGGGTGCAGGTGGGAGTAAGAAAGCAGGGCTCTGACTGCCTCCCCCACCATGTTCATCTTTCCTCACCTGCCCATACGGGCTTAATTTATGAATGAGGAGACCATGCTCCAGGGAATAGAAGTAGATTTTTTTTAAGGAAGACAATGGTGAAGTCATGCTAGAAATGAACCCGTTTGTTCTGACTCCCAAGGGGGATGTCCAAGGACGCTCCCTTTGATACACCAGCTGCCACCTGTTCTTATGGCCATGGATTATCCTGGCACAGCCCCAGAATCTTCTAGGCAAATCCAGAAGAATCTCTGAGTCTGTGCTTTTGGGAAATTATTAGAAAAGCTCAAACTCTTCCTCTCACGCGTGGAAAAACAACCTGGGTCTCTTCTGCCACTCATAGTCAGACCGTGGGGGCAGTTCAACAATGAGGAAAACCGGACACACATCCCATCATCCTGCTCCTCTTTCTTCTCAGCTTATTCTGCCTGTTTCTCCCTCTGCTCATCCCTCTTTCCTCCCCTCTCCTTGTTCTCCTCTTCCTCTGCTCTCTTTTCTTCATTACATTTTAATCCGTTCCTTCTGTCCTTGTCATCCTGGCTCTCCTTCCTGTCCCTCCTCTTCCGCTGCGTCTTCACTTTTCTCTCCTATTGTACCCTGTTAAAGTTCTGGGATAAGATGGGGAAGATACGAAAGCTCTGGCTCACAAGGGACTCACGTTCCCATTGCAGTGGCCAGGTGGGTCAGCCACAATGTGGCACAGCCTGCCAGGGCTGCCATACCTTGCCAACTGGAAGCGCAGCGTGGTCCGCGGGTGGTACATTTCCAAGGCAGCAATGAGGTCAAAGACAGATGGTGCCAACATGGTGACCAGAGAGACCACCACACTCACCTGCCAAGAGAGCATGTGTGAGACCCTGCGTTTCCCAGGGTCCCCCCAACCTACCTCACTTACCTACATTTGGTCTCTAATATTTGGAACGTGGGTATCCACAGGGTCATGCAGTTTCTAATCTCTCCCAATCTCTGCTAATTATCTTTTTTTTTTTTTTGAAAGACCACTGTTATTTTATCATGGGTTTATTCTTTTTAGGAACATTCCTTTAGTATTCCGAGGACACTCCTATGGGTCATTGGGGATTCACTAGCATTTCTACCACATATTTCAATTACCATCTCATCTCATTTATACTTACTTCCCCGACCTGGGATGGAAGATGGAAATAACTGTGATTATTACGAATAGAAAAAGGAAGGCGGAGAGGTAATTTAATATTCTTCCTGTTCATGGAAGATTAATTACCCAGAGAATTATGCCTGGCTCTTGTTTCTCTGTACTTATAGCAAGAGAAAGAGGCATTTTAACTGGTGTACAAGAGTTTGAGCTAAAATAAGACATGATTTCTGGATATATCTTTAAAAAAATCCATCTACCTGTAAAAAATACACACATTTACATAACCTACTTAGTTGATATAAAGTAGAAAGAGATAAGGTACCTAGTGTAGTCTTAGATTTTGATATATTATTGTACATGGATAGATATATGTGGGTTAAATTGATGATCATCTTACTGCTTACACACTTTGCTTTTTAAATGGTGATAATTTTTTTTTTCATAGAAGTGGTCTGAAAAGTTTCTTTAAATTTTTTTTTTTTTTTTTGCTGTGGTATTTCTGCCTTTCAAATCTTTACAGGTAAAGTGAGTCAACGTTTTAGAACAACAGTCTCATAATCAACCATTATTAAGAATTGTAAAATTGTCCATAACCTTCTATTTGGAAATTTTCCTTTTATGGCAATATTTACACAGTGGGGGAAAGCTGTTCAATATACAAGCCATTTATGTGGAGCTGGTGCTAGGAGTGTTGTTTGTAATTAAGAAATATAGAAACTACCTAAGTATTCAACAGCGTGCACCAGGCCAATTTTGACACATACACTAGAATACAAGGCAAGCCTGCAGGTGGCGTCAAACTCTGAAGCTCAGATGTGAAAGAACAGAAGTGAGAAGAGCAGCTGGGCATGGGTATGGTAATACTAGCCTTTAATCCCAGTGGTTCTGGAGCCTAAAGCAGGAGCAAGTTCAAAGCCAGCCTCAGTAACTTAGTAAGCCCTAGGCAACTTAGCAAGACCCTGTCTCAAAATAAAAAATAAAAAGGGCTGGGAATGTGACTCAGTGATTAAGTGCCAGTGGGTTCAATTCCCAGTGTGTATGTGTATGTGTATGTATGTACGCATAAACCTATAGATTTAAAGGTAAAGATTTGAGCAAACACTTGAAGGTTCTTTGGAATCAAAATCTTCCCCTATGGAGACCAATAAAATTATTTATCCAAGGCTTGATGTTGCCACTCAATGGCTCAAAGCCCTTGAGGTCCATGCTTTAGAACAAGACTGGAATTATTCCCTAGAGGTAGTTCTACATAATCCACTAATGAAGCAGAAGAGCAGCTACTTTGAAGACAGAATGCAGGTAACTAACAGGCCCTGAGTACCTCATTCTTTTCCCAAAGGGTCAGTTCTTTCTTCGATTGCTCCAGCTTCTGGGACCGGTCCACCACAAAGTAGATGAGATAAATGCTCCCAGCCAGTGAGAGAAGAACCAGGATGTTTGCAATGATCCTCAGGCAGATGGTCACTGCCCTGTGGAGAGAAGCAGGCACCATGACCATCAGACCACCATGATGTACTGACCAAAAACACATTCCCTGCTGAGAGGGTCCTCTGCCTTAAGGAACTGTCACTTCCCCTCACCTCAAATGCCTCATTTTCTGTGAGATCAACAATGAGTTATAAATTTAACCTGCCAGAATTTTGGGGCTTAAAACACATGAACAAATAACTCTAGTTTTAGAATCTGAATATTTGGCTTTCAAAACAATCTCTGCTACTTAAACTTGGAGTTCTGTGGTTTGCACATTCATCTTTTACAAATTGAAATAAATGTGTTCTGCAGAGGAAGGGAGAGATGATTTCTGTCACTCCATATGACAAATCTGACTTTGCACCACATACCTTCCTGGGGCCTTATGAGCTGTCTTTCTCTTCTGTAATGGAAGCTCCCAGATTTTTTAGTGTTTTTGTTCCTATATCCTCAGCTCTTAGAATAAGCCTAAGCACATCTAAGCATACGATAAATATCTGATAGATGAGTGAGCAAATAAAGAAGCAACTAAATGACTCTGAGATGCGACATGGGACTCATCTCTCTCCTCGTTAGCTCTCACTGTCACAAATCTCTTATAGTGTGGGAGATTTCAGAATCAACAGTGATTCTGGAATTTAGTATAACTGATACCCATCTACTTTTTGTCACAATGGGGGACAACTGACTTATTGGCTCTGGTTGGCCCATTTTTAAGGTAATCTGTCAACTGTGGGACCAATTCCAACCTGGTTCCCCTGGTAGCAGAACCCCAGGCAGAGGCCTGTTTGTACATAGTTAATTTGGGAGGGGACACCAGAAAGTGGGACAAAAAAGCCATTAACACAAGGATGTGTGGTAGAGTTGGCCAATTGGAGGCAACTGCAGGACCTCCTTAGGGACCACAGAATGCCTCCCAAACAGTCCACCCAGAGGGAAAAAGAGAAGCATTTATCCCATTCCCTATGGTCAGCACTGCTTCCAGCCTATGGCTGTATGAGTGTTGACTGGGACCTTGTGGGTACTCCTCAGAGGACCTCAGGGCAGCACACAGTAGGCAGAAGCAAGGGGAACATGCATATGGCCAGCAGCATCCTGTAAAGCTCTACCTGGGGATAGAGACAGGAGAAAGAGATGTGGTCAAGAGGAATTGAAGGTATACAAAAGAAGGGCATCATCCCCTCTGTGAAGTTGCACCAGCTGGGGACCTTGGACAGGTCAAGACACCCTCTTCTATAGGTGTCCTGGCCCTTCATCAGCAGAGTGAAGGAACTCATTACCAAATTGCAGTGATAAATGTCACCTTTCCAGGTAAAACATAAAAACATGGCATACTATGATATTATTACCAACTCTGGTGGCAGAGGAGTAAGATCAAAAAATCACAGAGCACCGGAGACAGAAATCCCTGAGAGAGTTGGGTCCACGGAGGCAATCCCAGTGCTTCTTTATTCCCTCCAGTCTCTGGAGCATACCTCATCACTTCTAGGGTCAGGCTGCCCACGTGGTGAAATGTGGCCCTGGGGCCGGTCCTGCAATTGATTTTCCCTTCCAGTACCTGGTGACCCTTTCAGGGACTACACTAGAAAATGCATGTGGGACAGAGGGAAGTAGCCAATTAAATGTTAGTTTTCCCTTTTCTCTACCCTATTCTTCAGGGTCCTGTTACAGCATGCTGCATATCCCAGAATGGCTACCATTTTTTTTTGTAGAAGAGAGATGAGAAAAGTTTCTCCTTAGTTCTTTTGCTTGTTTTAATAATGACTTCAGTGATCTGGAATGAACTTAAGATGACTACAATTTTCAAATTTGAGGAACCCTTTAAATCATGTTGTGAGATCTGCTAAAGATATATATTCAGTGCTCTATTCTCAGGGATTCTAATCTGGTAAACTGGGGATTGGGCCACAGGAGTCTTCATTTCCAGGGACTGCAGGTGATTCTTATGTGGGTGGGAGCTCTCCAGCTTCTGAAAAGCATTATTAGAGCCCCATCCTTCCATTTCTCAGGAGAGAAGCTGCAGGCCAGGAAAGTTCAGGGAGTGAATGTCAAGAGCAGGGCCAGAATCCATGTCCTCAGACCACCTACACATAGCCTTTCCCAATACCACGCCTTGCTTCCTGCCATTATCCCTGTGGCTGATGTGTTTCTTTGGTTCTCCACAAATTAATTATGAGGACTAACCACTCAGTAAGGATAGCAGATGAATGCACACGTCAATCTCAGTGCAGACAGAGCCACTGCCCCTTTGCCCCTTCCTGGGAACACCCTTGTCTTGCATCAGTTCTCTGGTTATGGTGTTGTTCCCTCGCCAACACACTTCTCAAGTCCTCATGAAGAACCTCACATAGAAGAAACCATCTTGAAGGCCTTGTGAACACAAAGGATGCTGTTTGTGTCTTGTGAACTTCAGAGATTTGTTTCTAAATAAAATTAGTCCTAACAGTTTTTGTAGATTTGTTTCATTCAGCAAACTGGAAGTTGGCATTAAATATAAGAGTTTTATTATCTAAGTAAAAAGGTAGGATGCTGGTTAACTTCAGATCTCTCACCCTGTCACAGGCTCTGAGGGAAGAGGAAGCACTCTTAATCACTGCTATAGGAAAGTATGAGGTTCCCATAGACCATAGTACTAGGGGAACGGAGATCACAAAGAAAGAAGACCTATTTGACTTGTGAAAATAAAATATAGATAATCTAGTAAATTTCTGTACTAAGTTGAAACAAAATGCATCACTGACTCTTGGCACAGGACATATTAATACCTACAGATTTTTGCTTTTCTTCTTTTCCTGTTCTTCCAGGATAGCCTCCTTTAAGGAAGAATACATATAACATTAGGAGCTTAGCATTATTGTTAACTATAAATCATTAAAAACATTCAGTATTTTAAATCATATGTTTAATACTTTCTTTTGTAAGATTCTATTGATATCAGTGAATTAGATATAAATTGTTTAATTATCAATTGAAGGGAAATTGGAAATTGGGAAGAAAAGTTAGAGACAGGAAGATTGTGATAGTCTGAATTACCAAGATACATTTTTCTCAAAATAGGGTGCCATTGAGTTGTTGCAGTGGTTCAAATGGCCCAGGTTTTTGACTGCTTTTGATCTTCTTTTCTAAGTTAAAAATAAATGCTTATATCCCTCACATCTACATATTGTTTCATTTACAGGTTATATTATGGATCATGGTAATAATCCATTATGTGAATTATGAAAAATACACCAACTGAAGTTTTTAAAGGATGAAATATAAACAAACAAACAAATGAATAAATAAATAAATGTTCTAGCCAGAGGTAGTGGCTCGCACTCCTGTAATCCCAGTGCCTGACTGAGGATTGCAAGTTTGAGGCCAGGGCGCGACTCTCCAGTAGGGGGCGCGCTCTGTGAGTCCGGACAAGGCGCTAGCGGCAGGGCAGTCTGTACAGGTTTTCACTCACCCTGATGCTGTTCACGACTGCCGCGGTTTTGCTCTCCGCAGCCTCTGGGTTTCCGATGAGGTAATCCCAGGCGCAGAACACACGCCAGCAGAAGGTGTAGTTTTCATTGGAAGCACTAGCAAGGCTTGTGCGGGAGTTTTTGGCCATCCTGCAAAAGTGGAATCAGAAGGGTACTTGGGGACAGCTTCAGGACTATGATCTTCCTCTCTGGGCTGTTGCTACTTACTGACTTGGAGTTTTATGTGAATTAGAAAAGCTGCCTCATCTGGGTTGAGGTAGCTCCTTAGGCAAAGTGCCTGGTGGACTTCCTGCCCTCGGCTAACCTTTTTGAATACTCTGAAAAGTGCATTGACACATTTGTGTGTGAGTTGATTTTGACAGAGAGTCCCACCACTGCGGTGGCCCAAGCACCTCTGTCTGCACTTTGGTAACTTGCCACAGGTTGGAAGCACAAATTAGAAAGAAGTGCACGTGAGACAAGATGGTGGGGACCAAGTTCTTCTCTAGGCTCAGAAACTGTTAGTCTGTGTTCCTTTTTTTTTTTTTTTTAATATTTTTAGTTGTAGATGGATACAATACAATACCTTTATTTTTATTTATTTTGTATGTGGTGCTGAGGATAGAACCCAGTGCCTCACACATGCTAGGCAAGCCCTCTACCACAGAGCCACAACCCCAGCATCTCTCCCTTTTATTTTAAATGTTTTTACTCTAATGTCTTAATTTAACATAATTTCTTAATAGGATATTAAGCTGTAAGGAAACCTGGCGATTTTTCAAGCCAAACTGCCCATTTTACAGATGAAGTGCAGAGAGGGCAGAGAGGGAAGCAAGTTGCTGTGGGGCTCCCAGTGGGAGTGGTGCAGGACTCCCAACCCCTGGCCAGTTCACTTTCTTTTGCTTTGTGCCTCTGATCAAGGATGAGCTTGAAGTTCCAAATCTGTCACATCACAGATAAACTGATCTGTAAGAATCTATAACCAGGTCACAGGCAAACATACAGCCAACAGAGCATGTTTTGCTTTCTGTAATCTCTGGTCACCTGGATCATATTATTCATCTCTATTAAGTCATCTACTTGTCTAAAATTGCATAAACTGGTAAGTCTGTATGATCCTTGTCTTTCCAGTCTCAACACAACACCTAGCTCGAAGCTGTAAGTGGGCAAAAAGTACTGGTTAAAATGAGCATACCTCCTTGGTCTTGGTCTCCTCCTCTGTAAAAATAGGTACATTTATGCCCTAACTTAGCAGGGCTATTGACAAGATTAAATAGGATCACACATATCATAATTCCTCACGTAAATCTTGGGGAAATGAGCAGTCATACTTTTTTAAAAGAATGATGAAGCTGTAAGCAAACACTGCCATCCCCACCAGGAAATACGCCAAGGGCAGCCGGTAGCCTGCTCTCCCGATCCTCCTCTCCCGGCCATAATAGCCATAGAAGAGAACTGAGTACTGGAGGTAGCCCTGCAAAGAAAATACTCTGTGTCATTTCTGATTCCCAGGTCTCAGAATAGTGCCTTACTCAAGGCAAGAGAGTGGCAAGCATCAACCTCACCCCCAGGGACCAGACGGTATCCAGGTCTTGGGCAGATGCAACATGCTCCCGGGGGATGCTCTTGCTGGCTGTGCTTCCAAAGGGCTGGCCTGCGATCAGCTGGTGAGAGAGGAAGAGATGTCATGTGGTCCTCCAGGTGAGGGGACCAGAGAAAAGGGTGGGGGATGGATTCCCATGAATCTGTAGAGGTGTCACATGTAAGAGCTCTTATGGGGCTGTTTTTTGCTTTATTCACATGAATGGAAAGTTAATCATGGGTGATTAGTTTTTTCTTTGGCTGTTTTCTTTGTGTACCTGCTGGGTGTACTCTCTCTGGACTAGATATAGTATTTGTGGGTGGATCAGTGAGGTCCCTGGGATTTTGAGACTGTATGGGAAATGAATGGCCCCATTTACTTTAATAGGATGAAATTTATTTGAATAATGTGTTTTATTTTAACAGGTTGGCAAACTGGCAGCCTGTCACTTCTTTTGTGGAGCCTGAGAGCTAAAAATGGTTTTTGCATTTTTGAGTGGTTAGGGAAAAATCAGAAGAAAAATAATATCTTGGGATAAATTAAAATTATATAAAATTCAACTTTCAGTTGGCATAAACAAAGTTTTTATGGAATCACAGCCACATTAATTATTTTATGTGCTATGTTGGCTGCTTTTGCTATCCTGGTAGATGTGAGAAGTTGTGATGGAGACTAAATGGCCAACAAGGCCTGAAATGCTTAACTGTATTGTCCTTTATAGAAAAGATTTGCCATACATGAATTATCCTTCCCACAACAGTAATAAGAGAGGTCATTTTATACTATTGTAACATTCCCCTTTTAAACAATGGTACTGTTTTCTCTTCTGAAATAGTTCTTACCTCTGGGACGACAATAAAAGCACCTGTCATTATTGTGAGCACAATATTAATTCCAAATAACCATCTCAAGAATATGAAATAGGAGGCCACACCTGATCCAAAATGACCTAGAGAAAGGTAAGACAATATAGTCCTTTTATGCTCAATCCTCACGGTGCAAGAAATCTTCATAAAGCAACATTAATTTTTCCTGTTATCCTCAGGGTGTAGAGTAAAAAAAAAAAATGCTATACTTGCACATAAGAACATTCCTCCAAATGGTTACTTAGATGGGTCAAGATGAACATGAATAGTTTTATATTAAGAAAAAAAATCCTTAGTTTACCAAAAATAATAATTTTCCTAATGACATATTCATCTAAAATGCTCTATCAAATTTACAATAACAAATGTATGTTAAAAAGTGTGAGCATCTTTTGAGAATTTGATAAATTTGAGGTCCTTTGGAGAATTCCAAGTATTTTTCTGAGGGTCCTTTTGGCTAAATTTTAAAATAAAAACCAATTTGTTAGATGTTTACAATTGGGAAAACCAAGTGAAAGATTCATGGTAATTCTTTGAAAATTTCATTTTACAAATTTGTAAAAGTTCTTTGCAAATACATCTCACTTTAAATTTAAAAAGTAAGAAATTGCTTGATTCCATTTAAACATTAAAAATATTTTTCCACTTTTTTAAGCTAACTTTAGATTTATTTTTATTTTTTAAAAATATTTATTTCTTAGTTGTAGTTGAACACAACACCTTTATTTATTTATTTTTATGTGGTGCTGAGGATCAAACCCAGGCCTCACCCATTCTAGGTTAGCACTCTACCGCTGAGCTAAAACCCCAGCCTTAGATTTATATATATATATATATATATATATATGTGTGTGTGTGTGTGTGTGTGTGTATGTGTGTGTGTATATAAAACATTTCTTTTTAAAAATATTTGTAATGCAATTTTAAAGTAAAGGAATTAAACTTACTGTTTAAAACAATTGAATCAATTATTCCAGCAATATTTATGTAGTAATTTAGACTATAATAATTATTATATGCTAAAGGTCTGTATTTCTGCTTCTGATTTTTTTTCTTATTACTTTGATTTGTCATTAAATTTCTGCACTACGCTGTACTGTTTGGATTGTTTAGCTTTCTAATGTATTTTTAAGATTTTGGTCACAAAACTTCATTTGTATTTTTCCTTCAAATTTTTGTTTAATTGATCTCTTCAATGTTTTTCTTCCTTATAAGTTTTGTGATTATTTTGTCAAATACGTAAAGCAATACATTGAGACTTTTACTAGAATTGCATTAAACTTGTAAATTAATGTTAGAACTCATAATCTCCCAAATATTAAATCTTCTCATATCTCCTTATAGAACTTTTATATTTTATAGTCCAATATTACAGTTTCCTTTATTTCAGAATTATTACCAACTTTATTGATAGAAGTCTATGTGTGTTGTGTTATTATGTGTGTGTGTTTAAATGTGATTTTATTTACTTTTTTAGCATATTTTCTAAACACAACTATTTCTATGAAAATGTGATTTGTGTGTGTGTGTGTGTGTGTTTTGCAATTCCTTACATTACCATCTTATTTATCCTCAGAGTTTTTCACTTCATCTTTGGGGGTTTGATGTGTCTGATTCAATGAACTGGGAGAGAACAAACAGAGCTATCTTGGAATGTAGCAAAGAAGCATGGGGATTATTCCTGTCTTGCTGGGGACAGACCAGGTCTTCTTGCTTTGCCCTGCTATGCAAGTCTCCCCAGCTACACACTGTGGGGACTGGCACACACCAGACTATTCCCAGGCTGTGGATTGATGACTGATCCTGCATCCCTGACCCCTTTTCCAGGTGTGATTACTTACTTTCAATTTTCTTTATCCTCATTTCCCAGGGAATGAAGATGACCACAAAGTTACAGGCAAGACGAGCAAATTTCCTCCAGAGCTAAAAAGGAGACAACAGGATTGGAGAACTTCCTGTAGCACTAGGGTCCTAGCTGGAGGAGGGACTCCCAGACATACCCTTTGGTACATTTAATGATGGCTTCATAGGCCATTAAGCAGCTCTAGGACCAAAGTAGCACTCTTGTCTTTCTCTGTGCTTCTGACCAGATGAGTGGACAACTGCTCTGGGCTCTAAGCTGTGGTGTCTGGGTTGAGATGCATACTCTTTAAGGATGTAGCTCCTCTTGTTTATAGCATTCCTGATGCAGGGATGAAGGTCAGACTTCCAATGATGTCTAAAGGCACCACTTGAACCTGCCATGGACCTAAGGTAGCTCTGGGAGTGGGGACCAGAAATCCATACAGCTAACACAATCACCAAGTGACCACACCTGTATTCTGTTTAAGGCCCAAGAATTTAGAGCCTACTGTGAAAATGAGCCACACCCAATATGTGTTTTGTATCTTGAGCAGGGTTAGTTTCCCAGGTTGAAGTTGTCAGGAATAAGGTCTAGAAATTTATCTTGTGGATTTAAGATGCAATTGTTAAAAGTTTGAAAAAAAAATTTTTTTTTTTCAAAGAAGAATGAAGCAAAATGTGTCCTGACACTGGCTGTACTCTTGGACAAAGTTGGCAGGTTGTGCATTTTAACACACAAACAATCTGGGTTTGTGTTGGAAGCAAATGATATCATTGCACAAAGAAGGGTTACAAATGTGATTACCACATTCTGAACTGTAAGACAGCACACAGTCCTGATACAGACATGTATGATAATGTCATTCTGGATGTGTCTGCTAAGGCCAGACGGCTGCTTGGAAATGAAAATCTGAATTTTATCAGAAGCTGGAATTGTTCATCTTCTGCTCATGATTCCAGAGCCAACTCAAATAGGGCCACTCCCATGAAGCTGTCACACAGATTTTTTCTGTAGCCAAAAATAAATTTGTCCTGTCTATAAACTCCCTAGTCTGTCTTATAACATTCATCATGCCCTACCTTGCATTACCTGTATTTGGTTCGTATGGTTTATCTCCTCAAGCACAAAGAACAAAATCAGAAAACAAAAGGTTTTCTGATCTCTGTCCTCAATAGTGTTCAGAGTCAGGGGCTCTCAGACATCTTTTAGCAAGAAGTTTGGGGTTAGAAAGTGTTTGGGTCTGTGTCCTGCTTTAAAATATAAAGTCTAGCCAGGTGCATGCATGTAATCTTAGTGGTTCATGAGGCTGAGGCAGGAGGACTTCAGTTTTGAAGCCAGCCTAAACAAAAACGAGATGCTAAGCAACTGAGTCCTTGTCTTTAAATAAAATACAAAATAAGGCTAGGGACATGGCTCAGTGGTAGAGTGTTCCGAGTTCAATCCCTGGTACCCCCACCCCAACATATGGTCTAGGAAACAGGCGTGGCAAGCCAGAGACCTGAGTTCTAGCTTCACTTCCTCATCTCTCTTACTCTGTGCTGCTGGGGAAGTCAATCTCTTTCTTTGGGATGCTGCTGGCTCATATGTATAAGAAGCAGTAGAAATCAATCAGTGCTTATGATATTGCTTGAGAATTTCAGTACATGAAACCTGCAAAAGCAGGGCAGCTTTAAATGTAAATTTATGATCATCTTTAATTTAAATTTTATTAAGAGTATGTTGTTTCAGAGAATTTAGTGAGAGTATATTTATCAAATTTTCTGTTAAAATAAACTTTTAAAAAATGCGATACTCAACATTTATGCATATGAGACCAATAAATTATTGCATTGTGTGAGACAATGTTTATGAAAAAAGATTTTTGGAAAATAATTTTTTAGTATTTACCAAGAGCCAAAAAAAAGGGATTATAGTCTTTTCTACAGGGATCCCTTAAGAAAAAAAATTTAAAAAGAGGAAAAACTATATGCAAAGAGGGTCTTTGCAGAGTTATTAATAATAATGAAAAGTAGAACCAATTTAAATATCTACTAGCAGGCAAATGATTAATTAAACTAATATACACTTATCTGATAGAATATTAAACAGTCATTAAAAACGGTTAAGTCTAACGAGGACCATAAGCAATATAGGTAAACTTTAAAGTATTAAGTGGAAAAAGTAGCAAAATAAAAATGTGTGTAAGTTACAATTACTCTGAGGTGAAAAGGACATATTTATGCAATTATTGACATATGAGATTTTAAAAAATATACTATATTAGGGGTGGGGGCCATGGAAGTGATATTTTTGTTTGTTTTCTAAAAAGATATATGAGATATCTTTATAAACATATTATTTTTAAGGCATACTAAAGTTTAGTTTAAATAATTGCTTGGGACTGCTTGGGGAAAATAACAATCAAAACCCTTCACACTATATTATAAAGTGAGAGCTGGAATATGCATCTCTCATTGCGAGGGATTCAGTGATACAACTGTACACAGTGACACAGCAAACAATACCTACCTGTGTGGATGGGGTTAGGTCAGAATGGACACTAGATTATTCTCACAGGGAAGTCATCTTTTCCTGATGATCTTAGCTTATCGGGGTCACACAATTAGTAAGGGATGGCATCTGGGACTAAAATCGAATTTGGGGGAATTCAGATTTTCTGGCTTATCATCCTGCCCTCCACAACCTATGTCCAATGGCAAGTGCAGCTTCCTAGCCCTGGAGACCCCAGGAAGGGATGGCTGTGCCCATGTGCCTGTGCTTTACCTCTGCACCTGCTGCTTGGTAGCCTCGGGTCCTGGTCAGCCTCCCTTCAAATTTTAGCACAATCTCCTTTGCGCGTCTGAGAAAAGGGAAATGAGAGTGAGCACAATTTTATCACCTAGTTTTTGAAAAATATGTGAAGATGTAATAGAAATGGATACCAAACCTGCAGGGTAGGATGCTGTGGGAGGGTGGAGTTAAACTAATATTTCATTTCCTGACTTTTGTTAACCAGAAAACTCCTTCCAATTGTTTTTCTTTAGCACTTAAATAGATGAATTAACCTAAAATGATGAATTCATGCCAAAATTAGTTAAATTGAATTTCTTAAAGTCCTTCTCTGATTCAGGAGTTTGGCTGGGAATCACTAGCTTTGGAAATCTGTAGCAGGGTGGAGTATCTTGGCTTCTTCAACCTATCAACCTTTCTCTTTCAGTCAAGTCTTTAGAAGTGATAATGAGACCTGGCTTCAGAGAACTGGCTTCAAGAAAAGGGTGGTGTTTGGTTAATGAGAGGAAAATGTTGTGTTTAGATAGCCAGGAGCAACCTGAATCATTCCAATCAAACTATTGACACATTATTGATCATTTTGTTGAGCTTGCGTGATTTCTCAATTTAAATGTTTGAGTCATAAAAACATAATGAATTCCTTGGAATAGCTACTTAAGTTCACAATTAAATGAGCAAAAGGATTAGAAAATAAATGTTGGTGCTGTAGGACAGACTGAATATTTCCCCTCAAAGCAACTTAGATAGATATATGTGACTCCAGTGCAGAGATCCTCCTTATCTGGCTGTCAACTACCCTTTGCTTAATTGCTCTCAGTGATAAAGAACTTAGTTCTTCAGAATCAGCCAGTTTGCCAGTTTGACAAGTTTACTCATTGGGGTGTTCTTTTGTGTGTCTTCCAACAACCTCCCAGTAACACCCACCAGTTGTGAGTCTTCCCTTAGGAGACACATGTAACTAGACAGCTCTCTTTTCCATATCCAAGGTGACTCTCCAAAACATGACCTAATCTGAGTACTGGGTTTTGGCATCTGCCTTCTCAATGCAATGTCCTCATTATCATAGCTGATCCAAGGGACTGGCTTCATTCTGGTCAAAATAAGAAGAGCAGATAAGGGTGAGGTTGATGTCCTACTCCACACCATGACCATATTGGGGGTCATCCTCAATACAGTTGCATGCTAAATACATCTAGAAGATGAGAACCCATCCAAGTTAAATAATAATTTATTTTGTGTATTTACTTATGATGTTTTTCCTGCAAACATTTTCTGTATACTTGTTTTGGATTAAGTGCAGTAGAATACATGTATAAAGCATAGTCAATGTCCTGGAAGAATGCGTCACCTAGAAAGGATGAAAGATCTAACTATACAAAGAGTGGAATAGCATGTGCTCTTTCGGGGGTCAGGGGGATGATCAGGTGCAGAGGTGGCAAAGAGGGGTGGATCTGACCTAGGCTGGGTCATAGAACTATGTTGATCCCAGCCATCTGACCCCTCGTTTCCCTTCAAGGGAAACAGGAGTGTGCCATGTTCTCTGAGATAGTGGCTTTTTATCTGTGTTAGATGATGCACCCTTAATTCTCACACAGTCAGGGATCAGTGCTTTCTGTAGCTTCCACTCAAGTGCTGGGATAAGCCTCAGCAGGTCCCATTAGTGAGGTGTTGCTCCAGTAGCTTCTTAAAGTGATGGAAAAGAGATGTGTGTGGCAGGGGGTGAGAGATGGAAGTGCTCAGAGGGCAAGCTGCCTTACCTTTGGCTGATGCATGGCTGGCACTAGCCTGCTTGGAGCTCTTGCTGAGTCATGCAGCCAAGCATCATGGTGGAAGTCCTGGTTTTATCTTTTGTTTCTGAAGTGCCTTGACAATAAAGCAATATTTTTCTCTGTTCTGGCCTTAAGGTTAAAAAAGCTTAGTTTTCTATTGTATAGGTAACAATTAGTCATCATTTCTAAATGATTTTTTTTTTAAGTTTTAGTGAAATATATGCTCTTTTTATTTTTTAAGTTAATTTCTCCAATGATCACTTTGATAAAATTCCTGTGTTTCAATATCATGGAACCCTGGACTTGATGTCAGAAGAAAATCTTGTTTAAAGCTTAATTCTTGCACTCAGAAGCCATGCATAGGTTAATTGGTCTTTTAACATCTCTGAGTGTCAATCTTCTGAGCTGAAAAGTGAACATAGAGCTATCTTTACCTCCAAGAGTAGAAATGATGAGAGCTGATACAGGAGAATTAATTGGAACCTTCTGAGGGTGAAAACTATGGATGACTAGTTAACTGTTGCAACCACCTGAGGGGCAGGTTAGTCCAACTGGAAGAACAGTGTGTTGAATGGAATCCCAAGGAAAGAGTGATTTACGTGATGGGAAAGTGTAAGCTCTTTAGATGGTAGGTATGGAGAGAAAGGAATGTCTGGTTGGCATCTAGAAAATGGCATTAAAGAGCAAGGTGTGACAGTGGTTCTGTCCACACAGTGGTTGCCTGATGGCCAGGGTGGTGACTGCTTTGCTACAAGGGTCCTCTGCTAGTTCACAGTAGCTCATTGGCATAGGTGATGGAGGCCATCCTACTAGTTCCCCTTGCTGGGATCCCTGGCATCAGCATAAGCAGTCATCAGTCACTCTTACTGCCTACCCGATACAGTGCAATTCCTTCAAGGGACTGCTGTCAGTGGTCTCAAACTTGAGTTTGTGCAAGAATCAACTTGAATGCATGTTTAATACCAGGGAAGGTAGAGGTGTAGCTCAGTTGAGCATTGACTATCCTGTGAGAAGCTCTAGTTCTGAGTGAAAGCTCTAGTTCTAGCATTGGAAGATGAAGGGAGAGGAGGAAGTGGAGAAGGAAAGGAGAAAGGAGAAGAACAAGAGAAAGAGGAGTCAGAGGAGGTGGCTGCCAAAACGGAGGGCCTTCCCCCACAGTTTGGTTCAACAGGTCTGAGGGCAGCCAGGGTCTTTGAGTTTTAAATAGCACTCTGAGAACTTAGCAGTTGACATTTTTGGGATTATTTCTTCAGGCTATTCCTTGTTAACACTTCAACTTTACTGATGTTTGGAGAAACCAAGAAAAGTTTCCAATATCCAATGACTAGAGATTGACAGATAGTATTTGAATTCAGGAAATCTGTCTTTGAATCCTTAGCACTTAACTATTATACAGATACACTTTGTAAAACGACTCTTAAGTATAATAATATGGCTTCCCATGGAGATTATTCCCCCTCTAGGGGAAGTAATAGCAAGGAAACTAAAATGAACATCTCTTTTCATTCTGACTTGTACCTGTCTCCTATAAGTTTGGAGACAATATTAAAACCTACTGTTGGAGTAGAGGTAGAAGACCAAAAACTTTCCACCAACACACACACAAATGACACATATATATATACCCCATATAGACACCCTCTCCCCCAATACACACACTGGCTATATGGACCAGGCAGACCCCTCAGACACCTCTGTGATTTCTCTGGGTCAGGTCAAGAGCCACCAGGGCACCTTTCTCATGTGGATCTGTCTCCTTGTTTCCATGGGCAGGGACTGGAGGCTTTTTGGAAAGTATATTTACAGTAATTAGTAACTGCTGTTGAGGACCTTACCTCAGTGCTTTTAGCTTTTGTCCCATGGTCCAGGGCCTGCAGCGAATATTTGCCATGAGATCTTTCTGGAACTGTATATTCTGGAAGATTTGTTCCGGATCATTGCTGTCCCCTGTTTCATCAGCATTAAAGCTGTCATCCAAGTTACTGAATGGATCAGGGCATTAAGGAGGAAATCTGATTAGTAGAATTGCTTCCAGTGAAGATCATCTTTCCTGGGGAAAGTTCAGCATCTGACTGCCCCAGGGTTAACTGTATGAAGTGTGTGTGTGTAAGGATCCATGAAGGTGGAGAGAGAATTTGGCAGTGTTAGCAGCCCACTTAAACACATTTCTTAGATTCTATTACTTCTGAGGTCAGTGAAAGAGAAAAATTTCTCAGGATGAAATATAATGTTGGAAAAAATAGAAGGGAGACCAATGGAGGAGAGAAAGATAATAGGGTAGAGAAGAGGGGAGGGAAAGAGGAGGTACTGGGGAATAAGCTTGATCAAATTATTTTATGTGCATGTAGAAATATGTCATAATAAATCTCACTATTATGTATAATTATAATGAGGATAAAAACCATCAGAAGACACAAAAGGAAGCAAGAGGAGACTTATTTATATGATGCAATTCCTGAATAGCAGCAATTTTGGTAGACAAAACAATTTTCAATAGGATCATTGAAATAATTTTGGAGATTTCTCCTTAGCTCCCAATTCTGCAGATGAAATATATAAATGTCAAACTTCAGTCACCCAAAGACCCTTCTCTGCCCTTCCACTTTGATTCATTTTAAACCTGAGATAACAGAGGCAGCAGTTTCTATGAAGAAGAAATTAGCTAAACGAGTGTATATGAGCAAAACATGTCAGGGAAATGGTTATTCTCTAGAAGAACAATATTTGATGTGTAGTGAGGTTCATTTCCAGTAATAATTGATATGCTAATCCTAATGCAATCTTTTCAGGAGATGAAGATTCTTCTGTAGCTGTTAGAAAATGTTTTCTTTATTATTTTCATTCATATTGTTTCTGCTTACTCAATAGAGAATTTCCTCCAATTTCTCTAAAGTAAGTGGAGGTCATAATACTTAACAAAATATTCATTATAAATATTTAACAAACTCAAATAGCACTTCCACCCACTTCTAACTATTCAGAAGCCTTTTCCAAGAAACACCTTATTTATTGAGACAGATGTATTATCTGCTTTCTCTCAACGTTGCTGATTGAGTAAACAGAGAACAAAGACAAAGCACATTTATGGAACTGGCAGCAATAAAGCCAGTCTGGGATACAGGTTTTGGGAGTCTGATCCCCTCATCGAGAACCAGCAGCTTAGAACCATCTCTCCCTGTTTCCTTGGCTCATGTTGCCATCTTAGTTGTATGAAACCTGTAGGAATAAGTTTCTGAGTTTGTTTTGAAGAACCAAGCACAACCGAGAGAGATGTTGTCCCTGGCTTAGGTGACACAAACATGCATCCCTTTCTCACACACCTGCCTCTTCTGCCCAGGTGATGAAGGGTACCTACTCACCTGAGCAGCAGGGACTCCTGGTAGAGGTAGTGCTGGCTGGCATTTCTCCTGATGCTTCTGTAGCGCTGGGATGCCCTTGAGGCTTTCATGGGAACAGACCTGCTGCCTGTGATCCCTGATGTCAGCCAGGGAGCTAGGAAGCTGGCAGGCAAGGGTCTGTTGCAACTGGAGGTTTCTAAACAGGAACTGCAGAGTTGCTCTGTCCTCCCCTTCTCAGGAGCAGGATTGCCTGCCTGCAACTGGCGCTTGGAGCAGGGGAGAAGCCAGAGGCTGATCATGCATATATAATGTTAAGGTGGCCGGAGAAGCACTGATTGGCTGGAGTCTGGGCAGCCCAAGGTGGAACGCTTGGCCAGGTGATCTAGGGATGACTTGCACTCCCCATGGAACCCAGCCATAGCCCCTTGTACTCGAGGTTTTATGGTTTGCAAAACACTCTACATCTATTACCTTAGCTGGCGTTCATTAAACACTTAAGGAATACGACAGACAGGGCTTAATTTCTCCATCTTTACCTCTCAAGAAAAAGGCTTAGAGACAGCAAGGATCATGCCAATGTTCACATAGTAGAGTCCAGGAGAGGTATCATCATGGCTTGGTTTTAATTTTTCCCTTTTGACTTTTTTCTTTTCTGTTTCTTTCTATACACTCTCCCCACCGCCACACTATTTGAAAGTACATTGCAGAAATAATGATATGGCCACCCCAAATACTTGAGCTTGGTGTTAACAATAATCAAATTAATATTTCATCATGTTTTTATGTTTATCAAGTGCTTTTAGCTTTTGTCCCATGGTCCAGGGCCTGCAGTGAATATTTGCCATGAGATCTTTTTAGAACTGTATATTCTGGAAGATTTGTCCCAAATACTTGAGCCTGGTGTTAAAAATAACCAAATTAATATTTCATCATGTTTTTATGTTTATCAAGTGGGGTCACATTCATGAGCATGATGACCCTCTGAGACTGAGTCTAAGGGAAATGAAGGAATTTCCTAGAGTTTCATGGTAAGAAAGAATATGATAGAGATTAGAGATCCTGAAAGTAAATTGCCTCTGTAAAACAGGATGCCTAGCCCATGCTAATCCTTGGGGCAAAAGTCGGTAGGACCACTTTCCTTTCCCAGCCACAGGCAGAATGGTCCCCTGTTCCATTGTCACTTTTGGCTTCCCCTCTTAGCCATGCACTAAGATTCTCAGTCAAAGACTTTACCCCAAGTCCAAGACCTGACTGTGATTTCACAATATCAATCTCTATTTGCTAGTTACCATAAGAAGTGTCTTGTTTGTAGTAAAGTTAATTGTAGATTTGTACCAACTGAGTGGGAAGTGCAAGAATGAAAACAGAAATGTCTTAATGCATACACAGTATGCACTAAGAACTCAACAAAGGGGTGAATTTTTAAATTACTGAGCTATTTACCAGACAACAGAGCAGAGAGCAAGTCCATCAGCAACTTCAGGTGTGGGGAGAGACTCCATTTATTCTATCCTCCATTACTTGATTAACAAATCATTAGATAGTGTTGTAGGGGACAGATGAAGCAGAGCACTGAAGATAGCAGGAAACAGTTTTATTTTACTGCAGCCAGGTTCAGAGGGTACAGTTTTGTTGTAATCAATTAATCCCCTGAACCCTGAGTTCAGGTAGTTTCAGAACTTTATACCCAGCGTGTAAGGGGAGGGGGCTCAGAAGTTCATAGTCTGCAGAATTTCACAGGAAAGCAGCCTTTTCTTTTAGTGTTCTGGGCAAGTTAACCCTTCAAGGACAGTGCCTGAGAAGGAGAGAGCTTCTTCTCCCCTTTCTTTCTTCCCCTGCCAGCTGTTACTAGGGAGCCCAACTGGTAACTTTTCTTATCTTAGAAATGTAGACATCTCCATGAAGCTCCATCTCAGGCCAGAGGCCTTGTTAAAAGATCTGTCTTTTTTTTAAATCACATTTTGCATTTGCAAACACACTTTTCCAAACTACTATACTGGATAAATGTTTGTGGAAAACTAAGAAAAGGGGAGTTCAGCACCTGAAGTGCAGATCTCTTCAGTGGCCAAGTAAAATACAGCAATAGGAAAATAGGAAATTTAACTACACTGAACTCTTTTTGTAGAGACTCTTGCTGATAGTTCTAAAATCAATTAAGGTGAAGATTTCTGGAGAAGCTTAATTAAGGTTTTCTGTGGAGGAGGGGGTGCCACTACAATAGCTCTTATTATCTGTTACATGAGCCAGAACCCCAGCCCAGGACCCTGGGGTACAGGCGCTACCAAGCAGGTGTTCAGATCTAGGGCACAGGGCCTGGGAACAAGGCAGAAAGTCATGTGCTGGAGCTGACCTTGACTCAGAAACAGACCTGGGGGTCTTTGAGACCAGGTCATGTGTCAATATGCCTGAGGCAATTTTTTTTTTAAATTTTTTATTTTTTTATTGGTTGTTCACAACATTACAAAGCTCTTGACATATCATATTTCATACATTAGATTGAAGTGGGTTATGAACTCCCAATTTTACCCCAAATGCAGATTGCAGAATCACGACGGTTACACATCCACAATTTTACATAATGCCCAATTAGTAATTGTTGTGAGGCAATTTTGCCTGATAATCTACTAAGAACACTGTTATAAAATATGTGCTTATCAAATGGACAAATGACACTTACAGAAGAATTCTTTCTAGATCTACTGAGTTGTATCAGTTTGTTTTAGAGATCTTTACATATTTACATGGATGATTTCTAAACATGTCAAAGAATTTTAATTCTACTTTTTCTAAGACCCTGACTTAGAAATATTTACTTGAAATATTTTATATTGATCTTATGCATTTAAAGTATTTTGAGCATTTTTGTTTCTTCTTTTATATATATATATATATATATTTTTCTCTTTTTTTAGATATACATGACAGTAAGAGTGTATTTTGACGTATACATACATGGAGTATAACTTATTCTAATTAGGATTCGATTATTGTGGTTCAACATGATGGGGAATTTCACTGCTCATGTATTCATATATGAACATAGGAAAGTTATGTCCAATCATTCTACTTTCTTATTTCCATCTCCTCTCCCTTCCCCTCATTCCCCCCTTTTAAAAAACATTTATTTTTCAGTTGTAGTTGGACAAAATACGTTTGTTTTATTTATTTATTTTATGTGGTGCTGAGGTTTGAACCCAGGGCCTCGCACACACTAGATGAGCACTCTACCACTGAACCCCAGTCCCAGTCCCTGTTCCCCTTTTTCTAATCCACTGAATTCTATTCTTCCCCACTACCCTTCTTGTTGTGTGTTAGCATGGGATTGGCTTATATATCTTTTGTGGGGGAAGGTAGAGAAAGATGGTAGCACATTTCAAAGTACTATGGGGATTTATTAAAATAAGTGAGTGCAAACCCCGTGTTATTTAAAAAAAAATACTTTACCAACAGGCCATTGAGTGAACATCTAGACTCTGCCCATTTCTTGAGCATATATTTCATTCTCCCAGATATATTCTTTTTGCCATTGATTTTCTTCTGCTGTGAGAATCGTTTCTTTAGAGTTACTTTTACAGAAGTGAAATTACTGGATGAAAAGGAATATTATTTTAAAAATTAAATATCAAATCAATGTTGCCCTTTTTACGTTTATATTAAGTCAATGCATCTTATTATTGCTAAAATAGATTTTAAAAATTATTTTTACATTAAAATTACTTTTAATTGACACACAGTAATGGTACATGTTTATGCTATTTTGATACATATATCTAATGTGTAGTGATCAAATTAGGGTAATTAGCATATCCATTGTCTGAAACATTTATAATTTCTTTGTTTTGGGAACATTCAAGATCCCTTCTTCTTCTGGCTCTTTTGAAATCTACAATAACTTAAAAGGAGTTTTTGACATGGTCACATTTGTCTGTGATCTCCTTATGATTTTTTTGGTCTGATGTTTTAAAATGCCCTTTCGAGTCTCCTTGGCCTCGAGTTGGTCATGTGATCAGGGTGAGGCTCTGATTGCTGCTCCTTAATCCCCAGTGGGAGAACTCAGCCTCACCTCTTCATTTCCTTTCTAGGTTTCTACCAGTCCTGGCTCCAAAGGGCCAGGCAGAAAGTGGGCATCCAGAAGATGCTGCCTTGTGGATGCAAGGAGATTATAATTACTCTCCTTGCATTTGACTTCCTCTGGCAATTTGATTAGAAGCTTTAGATGCATTGGGTGATTTTAAGGTAAGACAGAATGTCTCAAATATGTCTATAGATAAAATGACTGAAAATCCCTCAAACACTTATAATTGGATTACTTTAAAAAATTCAGAAAGGATCTAAACAATGTCAAAATGGTCTGCGACTATCATTTCCCAGACCAACTGCTTCCAAGATTCATATGGTGGGAAAAGAAAAATCACACAGGGAGAGAGAGAGTGAAGCAGCAGGACAAGACTAATTGTATAGCATGTGCGTCTCTTTGAATTCAAAAAAGAAAAAGTAAAAGGGGGAAAGGGAATACAATTTCGTTATAAATCCCAGAAGGTTTTAACAGAAATCATTTGATGGCTTAGTTTACAGGAACAAAAACATTCATTTCCTACATCATCAATTAAAGAATTTTTCCTCCTGCTAAGTGGATTCTATTCTGAGACATCAGCATCCCTGGGCACATCTTAGAGCATACATGTGAGTCCACTATGTCCCATCAGCAGTGCCAAGGTCCTGCTTCCTTCTCAAATTTTTAAATCTGGATTTTACAGGACAATTTCTCACTTCTGGTATATAGTTACATGGGTGTTATATTGTGTTGGCAAATCTGAGAACTTTTGTTTAAAGTTGGGAAATATATTTTGAGTCTGGAGAATGTTATGCTGGGAAGATACTCAAGAGTAGATTATTTCCAATTTTCTGAGCAACAACTGAATTAGTTGAGACTGAGAACAATTTTAAATTTAAAATTTTTTTTTTATGCCTCAAGAAATCATATAGACTGGAAACCCTGCAGACTGGCTGAGATTTCCCTTATGCGATACTCTGTTCTTCATTTTGAGTAGTGAGTGGTGGGTAAATGGGTTGGTGGCCATGGTTGCCCTTTACCACAGTTGCCCCTCCCAGTAAATGAAGACCAGTTGTTACCACCACAGCACAGTCCTTTACAAAGAGGAAGTGTTTTTACCATCAAGAAATGATAAAAGTTTGAACTGAGTGTTGTTGAACCGTAATGTTCAGGTGCATGCCTGTAATCCCA